AACATATTCAAAATATATTATTTTGTTAAAAACTAATGGCACATTTCATGCTTGAACTATGAAGAGCAAGAGGAAACCACCCACCTTTGTAGGAAGCACATGATTATGACCAACGGCCTCTGTGTGGGTTTGGCCTCAGAAGGACTTCTTCTTCTTTTTTCAGTGTATTTTGTCGTGCCGCTTATAAAGTTTATGCTCCAACTTTTATACGCCGACAAACAGCTGCTGGCTAATGCCACATAACGGTGCCATTTCTTTTTCCTTATCGCGCCCACTCAACCGTAGCGCCTAGCGACGCCTCCCTAGCCTCCCCCCTATGCTAAAACCGAATTTAAATGCGTACAAAATGTCAGTCTAAACTAAGTTCTATAGCACTAGCGGAGCCCAACAACCACCTGGCAAATGGCAAATGTTTATCTGTGCTCCATGCCGACGACGACTTGATTTTAATTAGACGCCTTTTGAGAGAGCGTCAAAGTGAGAGCAGAAGCTAAAGTAGAAGCTAAAGTAAAAGCAGCTTAAACTAAACAAACAACATAAATAATAGGACGACAAATTAAGTTGCCGTCGCCGAAAGTAAAACAACGGAACACCAACTTGCACGGAATTGAGGGAAAATGCAAGACAAACGCTGCAGGGACTTGAGCAGATATCCGTGGAAACAATGACAGTCGAGGAGGCAGATAAACGGACGGATAGACAGACAAGTGGACGACGAGATAAAACGCAAGGCGTGTTGAGCTTTAGAGACAAAAGTCAGTCTAGAGCATGGCTTATTTATATATGCATATATGTATTTGTATACATACAAGTATATATACAAGGAAGTCTGATAAAAAAAAAAGGCATGCGTACGAAAATGGCACCCACAAGAGTTTCCGGCAGACAACGTCCGCTATAACAACTCTTTTTAGCCCAAGCACCTATCTATATACACACACACACACACACACACACACAGACATATCTACACTTAGAAAAAAGGCAAGCGTTTCTGTTATACAAACAACTACAAACAGGATCAATAGCTAATCTTGTAAACTGTTGGTATATTTTATGCGATTTATCGTAATAAAGCACAGAGTAAAAAAGGAAAGGATAATGAACACTGAATAAAGACTTTGTAGTACAATGTGGTCTTAGCCAAGCACAGGATGATCTCTCCTTCTTAGAGTATATTATTTGCATTTAGCTTTTTCAAATTATTACGTTCGTCTAAATCGATTCATTTTTATTTTTATATGTCGTCTCTTATTTCCCAAAACTAAAATCTAATGGAGCAGGTTTGGGAGTTTTTAGAGCAAGAGAAATGGCTATGAATAACTGAAATTATAAATTAATTGCTATTAGACAGTGGCATAAATGCCCAAGGGTGTTAAATTCATTTGCACTTATAACTTATATTAGTTTGTTTTCAAATTGTATATATGTATGATGTCAAAGGATCTTTTTTGTTTTTTTTTTTCTTTATATACTTAGCTTTTGAATTGGTCATATAGCAGAAATGGGCGTCCGCCCCTATATACATTAATTTAATTTGGAAGCGTTTCCTATTTTCCGAGCTGAATTCTAATTATATTATATTATTAGAAATTATAAGTGCCCTAAGTGTTACATTTATTTATACATATACGAGTACATAACTAAATTAATTTTAAAGTTAACTTTCAAGTTGTACGTAGACTTTTGTCAAAGAATAATTTTTGATATTTTGCTGATATACTTAGCTTTTGAATTGGTCATATATCAGAAATGCGGTCCGTCCCTATATATACATTTTCAATGATAAATAAATACGTATTCGTGTTTATAACACTCTCGTGTGAGAACCATTTGTGAATTCTACACAACTGTGACTTCAGGAAGTACTCAAGTAATAAAAACTACGTTAACCCATTTAATCCAAAATAGTATAACAACAGTCGAGAAATTGCCGTTCCATTTTCCCTAAGTGTATATATATATATATGTATATGTACTTTTCTTCATGCAGAATATAGTTCGCCCAACACATTAGCGCATGGGCGTCCTTTTTGTTAATGGCGGTATCGTCAACATTTTTGTCATACGCACATTAAAAGTCAAGGACGAATTTCATGTTGCATGTTTACTCATGCACACGCACACACACCAACACACCCAGGCCCCCAACAAAAACACACACACACACAGAGAGAGAATAACAACAACAGCCAGTTCGAGCAACTACAGTGGCAACCTAGTAGCATTAATTAATGAAACTCATTTAAAGGCCGGGCAGGCAGCCAGCGCGCGAAAGGCGTTACAACATACTCGTACGTTCGCAATTCCTAGACAGACAGTACGAGTAACGCTCCCTTTGACCTGCCACAACGCGTCGAAAAGTTGGTCATACATTAGCCTAGGCTCTACGACTGCCGCTGCTGATGCTGCTGGTGGTGGTACTGATGGTTAGCTGGTCCAGTAGCGCCTTTCTAGTACCAAAGCCAGCAGCTGTGTGCACCAATGCGCCAATTATCGTTTGGCTTGTGCCCAAGCAAGCCGATGCTGAACCCACCCGAAGCGGCCGAAGTGCAGAACGATACGGTGAGAGAGCAAAATTCACGAGAGAGTAAAAATGAGAGTAGGTGAGAGCAAGGACGAACCCCAGAGCTTTTCTGAGCGTAAGAAGGGGTGGCTGTGGTAAAGTTTTGCTCAAATATTTCGAAAATATCTCGAAAGGGGTAACTAAGCAGTGTATGTAACAAAGTTTTGATTAAACTGCTTACTAAAGCAGTTGTGTGGTGCGCGTTCAAGCTGAAACCGTTATACAGTCGCTACGATATTTGTTATACTGTGAATGTGAAGGAAGAAATGTGAGATGAGGACGAGTTCATTAGAACAGGCAGCCTAGATATGATCGATCAAAACAGTTTAATGTTTATTACCAAATTTGTTGTTTATTAGTCCCTACAACGCCCTGCCAAATGCAGAACTTGTAACAAGCTGTCACACAAATTTGGCATTAATTTCTGTAAATTCTAGATTCCAAGAACGATTGGGAAAAAAAATTAGATAATTTTCCATATTTCAATTGATCAAAATCTCACTAAATGAACTGCTTTCAATAAAAAAACTTTGTGTTCATTTGCAAACTATTTAAATGCTTATGGTAGTCTGAAGATGTCCGGCATGCCATTCCGTCCATTTCTCTTAATTGGCATAAAGGAATATTATAGTCGGAATGTATTCTTCCGCAAATAGATGTGTTGTATTGAATGTTTGTCTTTTATAGCTATTCTTAAGAAGCTGGCATAAATAAATTATATTCGCTATAAATGTATATTCAAGGTACAAGGACTTGCGCGAACACTGTCATACCTTATACTTATGTATTTTATAGCCAGTTTGTGCAGTAGTTATCCGGATATCCTGTTGGCATAAAAAGTCAAGACAAAAACCACATAAGTTATGTCCAAAAAGTTGAAAATTTAAGAGCACAAACCTATTATTTGCTATAAATGTATAAGCAAGGTATTTGCGCGAGTACTCTGTTATACCATATAGTTGTGTATTTTAAAGCAAGCTTGTACATCAGTTATCCGGATAAGCTGTTCCTATAGCAATTTTTAGAAAAATGTGAAACATGTTAGACCTCTGATATAAGTGTTATTTGTTATAAATGTATAAACAAGGTTAAGGCCTGCGCGAATACTCTGTTATATAGTATACTTAAGTATTTTATTGCAAGCTTGTATGGATATCCTGTTCGCATAGAAAGTCGAAACAGAAAACACGCTGAATATATTGTCTCCAGAGGGCGCATATAAGTATATACCACAATGTGGAAAATTTAAGAGCTCTGATATACATAACTATTATTTGCTATAAATGTATAAACAAGGTTTGGACCTGCGCGAATACTCTGTTATACTTCAGTTTTTTATAGCAAGCTTGTATGGATATCCTGTTCGCATAGAAAGTCGAAACAGAAAACACGCTGAATATATTGTCTCCAGAGGGCGCATATAAGTATATACCACAATGTGGAAAATTTAAGAGCTCTGATATACATAACTATTATTTGCTATAAATGTATAAACAAGGTTAAGGCCTGCGCGAATACTCTGTTATATAGTATACTTAAGTATTTTATTGCAAGCTTGTGCTGTTATATGGATATTCCCTCCGCATAGAAAGTCGAGACAGAAACCACGCTGAATATATTGTCTCCAGAGGGCGCATTTAAGTTTATACCAAAATGTGGAAAATTTAAGAGCATATATCATTCCTCAAGGACACTTAAACAAGCAGAGCAGCCAGCAGAAACCACAACATACATACATGCACAAATAAATATTCATGCACAATATAGCTGGGCCTAATTGTCCTCAAAATCCCTGAGGCACAGTTGAAAGGAAGGCGCAACAAATAATTTGCACCATTTTGGTGCTCTTTGACACGCAATCTCTCTTGCAGGACAGCACACCTGTATGAATTCGACGTATCACTCGTGACTTGTGTGCTGGCGAGGACATGCGCAGGACCTGTAGCTGCTTCTGCTGCCAGGACTAGGCCAACGCAAAGCCAGCGACCTGGTAGCCAAGCGACCGACCGAAATAGCGAAATACCTCACGAACAAACGACAAAACGACAGATAGACAGATAGCCCGACGGAGGATTTAACAACACGACAACGCGACGTTTACATGCAACAGCCTTTTCCGTTGTCGTCGTCCTCTTTGTGCAACCCCCAGCCCCCCACTAGCTGTCCCACCCCGTCAACATTGTTATAGAACATCCTGTAGCATGCCCGACACCTGCTGCAGCTGCTGCATTTCCAAGTAAACAATATTTATTTAGAATAACGAGCGCAAAACGGAAACGCCACGAAAACAGACACAAAAACAAACAACCAAACAAACAAGTTGCTGTGACAACCATTAACCATAACAAGCTAAAGCTGAAAATTTTCACCGACTCTAAAGTCGAGCGATTTAAGCTTAAATTTAATTTCAATTTATTAAACAAAAGAATTCAAAATGCAATTGAAATATTTGCGCACCTTGCTGGAGGGACAGGTAGGACTCCTCGCAGCACAACCTCAAAGGAGACTGCTCCTTAATTAAATTGTACCTTCTGCAGGAGCAAATGCAGCGCATAGCAGGCCTAGCCTGGTCGCCCAATCAACAGAAATTGGCAATCGCCACTGCGGACCGTCATATCCTTCTCTACGACGATGCTGGCGAACGTCGTGACAAGTTCTCAACGAAGCCCGCAAATCCAGCCAATGGCAAAAGCTCTTATGTCATCCGGGGTATCGCCTTCAGCCCCGACTCCACCAAACTGGCGGTGGGACAAAGCGACAGCATTGTCTACGTTTACAAGCTGGGGGAGACGTGGAACGATAAGAAAGTCATTTGCAATAAATTTCCGCAGGCGAATGCGGTGACAGCATTGATTTGGCTATCGACAGGTGCCATCATAGCGGGTGAGTGTGAAGCTGTTCAGCTGTTCAGCTGTGGGGCTGTGGAGCTGGGGAGGCCATTAAGGGACGCCTTCATGCGTGCCGTTTATGTGTCGCAAGTTCATGAGTATGCTGTGGTTCCTCCTTTATCCTTTATGTGCCTTCCGCTTAATGGTGCGCAATAAACACACAACAACCGGCGTTTATCTCCCAATCCTTTAATTTAGGGCTCGACGATGGAAAGGTGCGTGCTCTCCACTGCAAAAGCAACAAAACCCAGAGCCTCTACAGTGGAGACAGCATTTGTATCTCCCTGACTGCCAATACCAAGGGCAATGGGTTTCTTTCTGGCCACAACGATGGCACCATTATACGCTACTTTGTCACAGACGAGGCAAGTGAGTCCTTTGGCCGCATCGTACAGCATCCTGTGCCGCCTTTTGCGCTAGCCTGGCCTCAAGGCGGCTTCTGTGTGGGCGGCTGTGATCAGCGCATTGTCTTCTACGACAGCATGGTGAGTTAAATCACTCAGCCCCATCGTCATTTGTAGATAAGGAAATCACTGTCTAGAAAGCACGCATAAAGCATTTGCAAGGATTATCTTCATTGCCTAACTAATTTACACACATCATTCAAGTTGGTTGAATAGATTTGGGATGCACATTATAATTTTCACACAAATTTCTTATTTTTTACATTATAATATAATGTTATTCCAATTTTATTCACAACTGATTGGAGTATAGTTATATTAATGTCTGATGATCTATTTGGAGACAAAGAAGACAAGGGAAGATGTTTCGAAAGAATTGATAGAAATCGTCAAAGGTTCTTCCATGAAAAATCCACCCGATATCATTGAGGAATGTTTCTAAAAAACCTGACTCTTGTATAGACCTCGTGATAGAGCTGAGTTGTTCATATTATTATTGAATTTTAACTATATTTTGTAAAAATGGAAGGTAGTTTTAAAAGAATTGTGAAAAAACACTTTCCTTATATAAACAGTTTTAAATCAACATTAACTTTAAATTTTTTGTCCAGCTTAAAGATCTGTCAAAACTGAGTTGAAAGTGTATTATGTTGTATTATGGCATAGTATTTATTTTATTGGCGAACAAATATTTAGCTATAGCTACGATTACGATGTCTTAAGCAATAGTATTCAATAACAGTTAATAACATTTCAATTCTATATATAGTATATAGGACGAGGCTTAACTTATTTGTATGTACAAATTATGTTTTAAGGTGTTAAGGGTATTGTCAAAACTGAGTTGAAAGTGTATTATGTTGTATTATGGCATAGTATTTATTTTATTGGCGAACAAATATTTAGCTATAGCTACGATTACGATGTCTTAAGCAATAGTATTCAATAACAGTTAATAACATTTCAATTCTATATATAGTATATAGGACGAGGCTTAACTTATTTGTATGTACAAATTATGTTTTAAGGTGTTAAGGGTATTGTTTTTCTAGAGATATCGGACTATCATATCTATATTAAAGAGCTTGGGCTCAAAAAGGGAAGTTCTTATAGGTTGTAAATGTAGGCATTCCAACAGGGTGTGTTGGGGGTGTTGGGGGGAGCTCTGCTAATAAAATTGGCATCTCTATTAATACTGAATCCCCGCACACTGTACGAACAAAAGCTTATAAATCACCTTTCATTGGATTCGGTCCAATAAATCATAATTTAATGTACAGTTTGAAAACAATTCGGCACTCTATGTAACAATTTGGCACTTTATTTGCGCTCCACTGTTTCCAATGCATTGCTGATGCCTGGAAGTGCCTTTGCAGGGTCGTCAGCTGCGCAGCTTCGACTACACCCGCACTGAGGGGGAACGCGAGTTCACGGTGGCTGCGTGCAGTCCCAATGGGCAGGCCGTGGCCTTTGGCAGCTTCGATCGCATACGCGTCTTTGCCTGGAGTCCTCGCTTAGCAGCCTGGAGCGAGAGCGCCAGCAAGGAGATAAGCTGCCTGTACACAGTTACGGCATTGCTTTGGCGGCGCGATGGAGCTCGCCTGGCCATTGGTTCCGTCACCGGTGCCGTTGTGCTTTTCGAGTCTGTGCTGAAGCGTACGATATGGCAGGACAAATTCGAGCTGATCTTTGTGGCACCCAGTCAGCTGCTGGTGCGTTCGCTACAGGAGCCCACGGAACAATTGATCATTGAGTCCCAGTTGGGTTTGGAGATCGACGATGTGCGCATCATGGGGAAGGACAATTATCTGGTGGCACGCACCGAGGAGTCACTGATATTGTGCGATCTGACACGGAATCTAGTTAGCGAAGTGCCTTGGACGGCATCGGGCCGTCATGAGCGCTTCTACTTCGAAAATCCTACGGTGTGCTTGATCTTCAATGTTGGGGAACTCAGTCTGGTGGAGTATGGAGACAACCATATATTGGGCTCTGTGCGCACTGAGTTCGTTAATCCGCATGTGATATCCGTGCGTCTCAACGAGCGCGGCAATGGGCGCGATAACAAGAAGCTTGCCTTCCTCCTGGATGCCAAGACAATATGTGTGGTCGACTTGATTAGTCAGGTGGTAATTGGACAGGTCAATCATGAGACCAAAATCGATTGGATCGAGCTAAGTGAGACGTCGCACAAGTTGCTGTATCGCGACAAGAAGCTTCGACTCGTGCTCATCGACAACTACACTGGCAAGAAGCAGACTCTACTCAACAATATCTCATTCGTCCAGTGGGTGCCGCAGAGCGATGTGGTGGTGGCCCAAAGCAATAGCAATTTGGCCATTTGGTACAACATAGATCTGCCGGAGCACGTGACTATGCAGAGCATCCGCGGCGAGGTTATCGAGGTGCTGCGTGATAGTGTAAGGCACTGTTTGACAGGATTATCTTATCTGTTTTCTTATCGCATATGTTTTTACTTCCTAGGGTCGCACCGTGGTGCGCACACAGGACGGACCTAGTGAGCACACTTATCAGCTGGACGAGGGTCTTGTTGAGTTCGGTACTGCCGTCAACGATAGCGATTTCGGACGGGCTGTGCACTTTCTTGAATCGCTCGGCGATAAACCCGCTGCCAAGGCGATGTGGCATAATCTGGCCATTATATCCATGGAGGATGGCAATCTGCGTGTGGCTCAACGCTGCTATGCTGCCTTGGGCAATGTATCCAAGGCCTTTTATCTGGCTGAGATGATACAGCTGGCGGATAAGTATGAGGAAGAAACGGGATCGCCGGGCATTCTCTGTCCAGAAGTACGCGCAAAGCTAGCATTGCTTAGCTCCGATCTACGTTCCGCAGAGCGGATTTACTTGGAGCAGGGTGACATTGAGGCGGCACTGGAAATGTACAAGCAGCTACGGATGTGGGACGAGGCCGTGAACTTGGCCGAAAAGCGAGGCTACGCTAAATTGGTGCAGCTCAAGCAAGAGCACATGGACTTTCTCATGGGTACCAACCAAGAGGAGAAGGCTGGACAGGTGCTGGAGGATCAGGGTGAGGTCGAGAAGGCAATGAATTTGTTTCTGAAGGCCAAAAAGCCTGCACGAGCAGCACGTCTTGCCCTTAAAGTTCCCCATCTTTTGGATGATCAGCCGCTCATGCTGAAGGTCACTGAGGGTCTTGTGAATTGCGAACTCTACGAAATGGCCGGTGATATTGCCCAAAAATTGGATCGTCCCGAAGCTGCGCTGGCCTTGTATCGCAAAGGTGGAGCCTACGCCAGAGCACTGGATCTGGCTCGTCAAGTCTCCCCAGATGAAGTTACTATGCTGGAGGAGGAATGGGGCGACTGGCTGGTGGGTCGAAAGCAGCTTGACGCATCCATTAATCATTATATCGAGGCGGGTGCCACACAGAAGGCGTTAGATGCAGCTGTGGGTGCAAAACAATGGCGCAAAGCTGTACAGATTGCAAAAGTTTTGGATGAGCCCGAAGAGATACAACGCTATGCCTTAGATTTATCGAAGCACCTGGCCTTTGCAGGTGACTTAGAGGGTGCCGAGGATTTGCTGGTGCGCGCTAATCTCTTCAAAGATGCCATTGAGCTGCTGAATCGTCATGGCAAATGGGAACGAGCCTACTCCATAGGCGAGAAATACCTGAAAGCCGAGGAAATGCGTAATCTTTTCGTCAACCTAGCTGCTAGCCTGGAGGAGCAAGGCAAGTATCGAGATGCTGAGAAGGTTCTAATCGCGGTCAATGAGCCCGATCTGGCTATATCCATGTACAAGCGGCGAGAGCTCTACGACTCCATGATACGTTTAGTCGAGCGCTATCACAAGGACCTGCTGGACAGCACTCATTTGCATCTGGCACGTCAGTTGGAGTCGCGCGGAAAATTCAAGAATGCCGAACTACATTTCCTACACTCTGGAGATTGGAAGTCGGCCGTGCATATGTACTGCTCGTCGGGTCGTTGGGAGGATGGGTATCGTGTCGCCAAGCAGAAAGGCACCGAGGGCGCTAGCCATCAAGTGGCCTACATGTGGGCGAAATCCATGCCAGTGGAGAGCGCGGTGCGGCTTCTGACAAAGCTGGAATTACTGGACACGGCTGTGGGCTTCGCCTGTGACTCGGGACAATTCGACTTTGCCATGGATTTGTGTCGCCTCGCCGGCAAGTCAACGGATGAGGTGCATCTGAAGATTGCCATGTCTCTGGAGGATGAGGGCAAGTTCGATCAGGCCGAGGAGGAATTTCTGAAAGCACACAAACCCAAGGAGGCCATTCTTATGTACACACATGCCGGCGACTGGAAATCGGCCCTCAATGTGGCCGAATCACATCTGCCAGAGGCTGTTAGCGAGGTGCTCATTGGTCAAGCGTCAGCGGCGCTGGAGACACGAAACTATAAGGACTACGAGGCACTACTGTTGCGGGCTCAGCGACCCGATCTCATTATTGACTATTATAAAAAGGAATCGCTGTTTGAAGATGCTCTACGAATTGCCGAGGAACATTATCCTGCTGCTATGAACGATCTCAAGCGCTTGCAGGCTCATGAGCAGCGACGCAGTGATGGCTCCAGCGGAAATTCCCGCACAGACGACTCACGAGCCTACCTACAGAAAGCGGCCGAGTTTGCGAAGCGCGAGGACTTCCGCAAAGCAGCAGAATGTTTGATGCAAATTGATGAATCCAATGCCGAGGATGCACCAACGGTGGAACGGGCTTTACTTCGGGCCGCCGAGATATGCAATCAGTTTCTGGAGGGCAAGGATGCTAGTGAGGTGGCTGTAGCACTAGGACCGCGCCTTATTCAAATCAAGCAGGTCGGACCAGCTGCTCAACTATATTTGGCGGCCGATATGCCCAAAGAGGCCGTCGACGTGTTTATAAATGCCGAGCAGTGGTCGAAGGCGCGACGTCTCGCCAAGGAGATCGACCCCGAGCTGCTCACCTATGTGGAGCAGCAGCAAAAAATGCGTCTCAAGAATGAGGGTAATCTGGATTTGTTGGCGGACATCGATATAATTAGCGCCTTGGACTTGCTGGCGGAGCAGGGCCAGTGGCAGCGCTGTCTGGAGAAGGCCCAGCAACTGAATGCATCCGTTCTGCAGAAATATGTCGCTCTATATGCCGCACAGCTCATACGTGACGGTAACTGCATCAGTGCTCTGAAACTCTATTTGAGCTATGGAGCGCCGCCCATAGAGGCACATTTCAACATCTACTTGCGCATAGCCCTGGACTGTTTCGCGTTGCGCGAGGAACAAGCGGCGGATGATGTTTGGCGGCAATTGCGTGACTTTCTGTACAAACTTCTGCAATCTTTGCAAGCTTCGGAACATGCCCAGGCCGCGTTCATTGGCAATGCCAGCCGATATCTGCTCATTGCCCATTACTATGCCACACGGGCTGCTTGTCGGCCGGTTCCATCGCTTCAACCGGTGGCTGTGCGTCTTTCCATTGCCTTGCTGCGCCACACGGATGTGTTGCCTGTGGACAAAGGCTACTATGAGGCTGGAATGGACTTGCGACAGGCGGGCCGGGAGCCAGAGGCTTTTGTCATCCTCAACCATTATCTGGATGTCTGCGATGCTATCGAGGAGGGCTCAGGCAATCTGGTCGATCACAGCGATCTGACTGCAACAGATTTTCCCAGCTCTGTGCCGCTGCCCGAAGATATACATCTGAAGAACAGCACGGATCTGCATGAGGAGGTGCGTGAATGGGTGCTGGCCGTCAGCATGGATCAGCAGGTGGATCAGGTGCTCCCCACCGATGATCGGGGCCTTTACGAATCTACCTTGGCGCCCAACGACACAGCCTGCCTGCTCAGCGGCTATCCGGTACGTGGACGCCAGCCGGTAACGTTCAAAGCCTCATCCAGCATGGTTAATCGCGATGTGTGGAGCAAATTCTCGGTGGCTGTGAAAATGGCGCCGACCAGCGGCGTTGCCGATGTCATTAGCTTTACGGAAAAGTGGCACGGCGCGGCCAATTATGTGATGCACTAAGACGAAACGAAATTGTGTTCCTTTCTTGCATCTCAAATGTAATGCTTGGTATATAATTAACCATTAATAACTGGTTGATAAATTAGTAGGATTGTGTAAAGATCGAAAACATAATGCATACACAAGAACATATACAAATTTGAAGAAATTAATTTACATATCTCTAAGCTTGACTGTAGGGCACCGTCTCGTGCCGATGATTACAAAAATAGATGAAATAACGGCCCACTATTCATATTTTAACTTTTCCGTTGGGGTTGCAAAGTAGCCCCAAATTTCAGTGTATGGTGTTGAAGAGATCGCCGGCAGAGGGTAGGGGTGCCAATCCGCCGGTTACGTCCGGCAATTGAGTTAAATCTGGCAAGTTGGATAAATGATCGTGTATTTCCTTTTGAAGGCCCAACATCTTTGCCAGTTTCTTCTTGTGCTCCTGCAATGAATATAAAAGTGTTTGGCAATTAGAGAAACCTTCTTTCTTTCTAACATTTTATCACGCATTGCGTGTGTAATATAGTGAAAAATCGATATAGCGAACACCCTAGTTATGCAAAATGTGTGTACGTAAAATATGTATTGGTTGGTTTTGGGTTTTTTTCATTTTTTTTTTTTCTTTTTATGAAGTGTTTTTAATTTGATTTTGCAAAACGGGAATGTGCTTAAAACATTTGTAAAATCGATTAATAATCACAAGTGCGTCATTTGAATTTGTTCACCATATCGAACATCCAATGTATTTAAACACGTACTTCTAAGCGCTGTTCCGCCTGCGCGAGCAGCTCCTTTTGCTCGGCCTGAAAATCACGCAACATTGACGCCAATTTGGTGCGCTCCTCCAGCTCAGCGGCCAGACGTGAGTTGTAATCGTTTAGCAAATCAACTGCCTCATTAACCTGTATTTTTTTTAAATTCCGAATTAGTTGAATGATATGACACTTATGCTTGCTCCCACTTACTTGCTTGGCCAGTGACTTGGCCTTGTCCTTATCCTCTAACTTGCTTATGCAACTGATTTCCGATATTTCCTGCGGCAATTTGGCGATTCGTTCACGCACCACCGCATCACTTGAAGCCGAATTCTCAATGCTAGCCAGTGCCTTGATGAGCTCCTCGGGCTCCGGTGGCTCACCCAACGGTAAATAGGGTGACTGATGGCCATTTTCTGTGTCTGCCGGTTTCTCCTCGACCACAACAGGCTGATGACTGGTGCGCGAACGTTTCGATTTAGAGTGACGATCCTCATGTTTGCGCTTCTCGCGCTTCTCAGACTTTTCCACTCTGCTGCTACTACTGCTGTTGTTGCCATGCTCCACAGTCGCATCTCCGCCAGCATTTTTGCTACCATTGCTGCTACTATTGCCGGCTGCTGAACCTTCGCGATGCAAGCGTGCCCGATAATCGGCAATGGTTTTCGGGTCATACACCCCGCGTTCCTGCCATATGTTAAGGATGCGACCCAGACTGCCGAGCAGCTTATCCGATTTGCACGTGTCGCCAATGTGCGAGAATACCTTTGGCAGCACATTGCTGTATTCCTTGCCATATTCGGGGCCCTTCTTCTTGCTATTTTGTATGACATCGTTGGCCAGGTACATGAACGTCAGCTTCTTTTGCTCGGGGACTGCGAACACATGCAAATTAAAAGCCGGATACTTGGATGTATTGGACAATTGACTACTCACCGTTCTGCATCTCACGCAGCCAGGTCTGCACTATAGCTGTGTGATGTTTCCGATGGTGGATTAACCACAACGACAAGGTCTGTATGCTCTGCTGGCTGCTGTTCAGCTCGCCCAGCTTCTTGAGCAGCGCGGTCTCGGTGAATGCCGACATGGCAGCTCCAGGTATTGCGAAAATGACAGCTACTTGCAAAATTTGTTATCAGTTTATCCTAACAGAGGAAAATCAATCCACGCTTCACTTCTGCCATGCACGACGAATGGACTTTTGTAATGGAAAACAAAAATAATTGCCCTCTGACAGTCACAGCGAAGGTAAACCGATTGTGGCGCTGCCAGACTGACAAATTGCCTTCGGTATAGCTCTGGCAGCACTTAATACAAATACAAATAAACTAGCGAGACAGGCAGAGTGTAGCAGAGTTGCCATTTTTTTTTTCCTCAAAGCGCTAATTTTGAAACTTAAACTTACTTGCCAGAGCATATAAAAATAAATGTTTTTATGTTTGCTGGCCTTTTTTTCGAAACAGCCTTTTTTTGATGAACACTTTTCACAACAACGGCAAGTTTGAGAAATTTATTGATATAAAAAATAATAGAAACAAAAACATTCACAAAATATGTACTATATGATAAACGCTAATCTTCTTAAATTATGGTTTTTCAAAATTACAACCAAATCTTTTAGCATAACTCTTCGTATTCAAAACGGAAGATTAATATCACAGTTCTCTGAAGAAAATGAAATGAGAAATGAAAATGAGATGAGATTGTTAAAACTTAACTCAGTATATGTTTTAGTAACCAACAAAAAATTAACCGAGAGATGCAAAATTCAAATTTGGGCTATTGCGGTTTAATAAAAATAAATTAAAAACATCCTATATTAAAAGTTCAAAAATTAAAGTAGAAATTTAATTTGTAATTCATTGTATACCTATACAGATTTAGTAATTTCAAATTTGTTTGGGCTCTTTAAAGTTTTATAAATTAATATTAGGATTTTTAATTAGTGACTAATTATGAGGTTGAGCACTGATTAACATTTTCCATCTGAATTTGATATGGAAATTGATTACAATCTTTGGCCATATGTGGAATAAATTTAACTATCTGTCATATGATAAGGTCATAATTTGATTGACTTATAAACCGATTATCAATTTACCAACCTGTATGTTTGATTTTGGTAGATTGTTTTGTGTCATATCTTTGCCTACTTTTTATTGCACGCGAAATTTTAACTATCAACAATTTCTTGGGCGTTGAATGGGATTTTATGCCCTTAGCGAAAAATTGAAGACTTTTCAGTGCCATCCATCAATCGATCACGAGCCATTACGTTGTCGGACCTCTTCGGGCTCGCTCCTAACTGATAAATACTCCGACATAAAATACACCAACAGTTGTGAGTGACATGTGTGATATGATAGGTTGAGAACCTATGCCTCAGTTGATCGCCGCTGCTCAGACCCGTAGGTCGACGCCGTCTGCCTGTGTGTTTGGTGCGCTCTCCGGACGCTGGAAATACTTATAACGACGTTTCAGCACCACAAGTGCCAGCAATCGCAGCCATAGCCGGAGCCGGAGCCGTAGCCACTGGCAATCGGACCGCTTATCAGTTTGCCAAAGAGTAATTTGTGATACCTGTCCGTTTTGTATTGGCTTGTAGCAATGCGACGCGCTTAAGTGGTGTTAATTTTCCTATTAATTATTATCGTATTTATTGACAGTACGAAAGTGAAGTGTGTGTACTACATGGGCTCTCAAGGGCCTTGGCTTTTGCAGTCATCGTTTCAAAAATTTACAACCCACAGCCCCAAAGGCAAATTGGCAAATCTACAGCTCCAGCAGATACGTTGTCGTGTATTTGTTATAAGTACCTAAGTAGTACGAGTATGTATGAGTTTGATTTACAAATCATTAGGCACTATCAACAGCAACAGCACATTAGACAAATTGGGAAATTAACTGCCGTGTTGCAGGTGCGAGGCGTACAATTTGCTTAACATTGAAAAGAACACATGCGAAAATTTGCTTTATTAGACTAAAGCTGACAGAAGAAACATCAACAACAACAACACCAACAATCAAAGTGAAAAATAGTAATAAGTATATAACTCTCTCTCTCAATCACTCACCCACTCGCAACGATTAACACTCCGATTTTGATAGGCCACGAGCGTCAACATCGAGCTACCATTGCACTCAATAGGCTTAGATTATACGCGAGTGTGAGTAATATTTCCATTAATGGACTTTTGATGTGATATACTCGTAAAAAAAAAAATATAACTCACAACATTGGCAGCTTTTATGATTGCATTTCCCACCAAAATCAAAACAAACAGAAGAAAAAATGACCCATTTGTAATAATTCAAATTGAAACGAAGTCGAACAAATGCGTGTAAAATGAATTCCTATTTCGATTCTGCCATGGAATACACCCGTACGCACCCGATTGATCAACTGAAAACGCCGCTTAACGAGAAGAACTGGGAATGGTCGTATCTAGTGGTAAGTTTTTAATCCCTTTTAAAACTATGTATTCTCATTCGATAATTTACTGAATACTGGCATACCAGCAGCGCCTAAACAGATTAGATTTTGTTAAACAAAAAACGCTTTTAAAAAGTTGTCCTTCTTTTCTTATTAAGCTAAGATCTCATTTCATCTACTTTCTGGAAATTTATTATGAGCTTTGCAAGCCGATTTAGGGAGTCTTTCTACAAAATTCAAAATGCAAAAAGCCAGTCTTTTCACTAAAATAGCCCATATAATACTTTCTAGCAAGGCAAGTCCATCCACAGCCGGTTTTAGCAGTCACGAATAAGACTTGAAGCGATCTTGGCAGGTTAACTTTTTGTAAGACATTTGTAACCTTCCTCATATTTTAAACATTACAAGATTTCAATTATGAATTAAATCAAAGAAACAGTTCATTTAACAACCCCAGCTTGTCTTCAAATGGAGGTGGCTAACATTAACGAATGCCATCCCAGACCCTGAAATGAAATCAGAAATAGCCAAATAATACAATTACCATCGAAGGGATTATAAATTATTGGATGTAAGCCACACATTTAAGACCAACAATAAGAAATTCTTTAACTAACAAAAATATAATATTTCCAACATGTTCTTACAACCCAGAATTTGTATTCTTCGCTTTTTTAAAGTGCAAAATATAAGCTATATAGGATGCTCTAAAAAAAACCTGATCTAGATTCAAGATTGAAAAAAGCTGGTGTTCATTTCAAAATTATAGAATACTTATAATTATATTTGAAAATGTTAAAATATTATTTATAGCATTAGGAAACTACAATAATAACATTTTCTTGCAGCGTAAGTGTCGGAATCTGGAGCTGGAGGAGTCCTATGAGATTTATATGCGGCGTCTGCGCAACGGCTATCTATCGCTTTTTATATTAATTGAGCTGTTAGTTATGGCCACACACACACTACTACTGCTCACATCATCAGATCGAAGCTATGTCTACATAGACATGGGTGTCTACATAGCATCGGGTTGTCTCATTTGGTTGATACTTACCGTGAACTTTTACGATGAGCTCGTGAGCAAGCATACCTGGATAGCATATGCCTCATCCTGGTTGGCGGTTTCTGTCATGGTCATAATGGGTAAGCTTTAAATTCAGCACAAAGTTTAGAATATTGCGTGTTTTGAAAATCCTAAGCAGTATGGGTTTCCTTTAAAATTAAATGCCTACTAATATTTGTTGCTTGTAAAATTGTTAAATACCACCTAGACAACCTAAATAAGATAAGCATTTGCCTTTAATAATAAATTTGCCAAATATCCAAATTCCGCTAAAAATTACATAACATTTCTAAACACAAATTTAAATGGGTAAATTATTTAAAGTAAATTCAGACCAAAAATTGAAGAAATACCAGGGGCTCTTCAAAACACTTTCACTTCCCAACTCATCCAAATACTAGTATTCCTAACCGCATCTCAATCTTTTAGATATTGGCCTGAATGTCTACCATGCCACAAGTAATAATGACATTCTGAATCCCATCTACGATGCCTATACACTATATGCCATTTACATGTTCATGCCCATACCCTACATACTTCAGCCCATGATTCTGGGATCGGCGGTTACGGCCTGCTATATAATCAACTACAGCTTTGTTATAACCGCCAAAGACGACAATCAAATGCATAGCATTTTGAATGAGGCCATCTATCTTGTCTGTGTCAACTCTATGGGCATCTTCTTTCGCCTGATGAGAGATATTGCGTTGAGGACAACCTTTCTCGATCGGCGGCAGTATGTGGAGGAGAATCTGCTGCTGCGTTATGCGCGAGATCAGGAACGCGGGCTATTGCTGAGCATATTACCCGCCCAAATAGCCAATCGACTGCAGAACGATGTTAAGTCACGCATCAACCGTTCCAAGCAGCAGCACCAGACACGGGCTCAGGAGAATTTGCGATCAAGCAATCAGTCGGAGACATTGAAACGTTGGCGGCAGCCCGATCATGAGTGAGTAGGCGAAAAACTTGATTTTCCATTTAGAGTTGTGCTTGAATTTTCCATTAATTTAAAAGCGCTCTTTGAATACTAGCTTGAATTAATGCTCAGAAGAACATCTTGCCCTTTCTACGACTTCTGCCAAATATTAGGAGAACCAGTTCCATTATACTGAAATGTTCAAATGTATGTAACAGGTTCTGAACGAACTCCATAAGACTCTGATTCTTCATATACTGTGTACACCAGAGCACAGAGCATCCTAAAATGTTTTAAGTTCATTAAACGTTTAATAAATCTAAATAGACCCATGTTCAAAAATATAATCTTAATTCTGGGTAAAATTACGTGGTAGAGAAAAGTATTTATATAACTGGTATTTCAAAGCTCTATAAAATCTTTGATTTCTTGTCCACCTTTCCCAAACCTTTTCTTAGCTTCGAGCTTTCGTTTATAGAAACCTATAGTACAACAATTGGCTAGATCTTATACTAATATAGACATGGGTGGAACTCTTTCTTGCAATACATAGTTAGCATTGAAAGACATATTTCAAAGAAGTATTTACGAGGCTACTATACTTTTACCCACCTTATACCTTTTATAGAACACTGTTCATCGAACCACACAAGGATGTGACCATACTGTACGCAGATGTTGTCAACTACACGTATCTGACAACAACTTTGGATGTGAAGCAGCTGGTGGAGGCGTTACATGATCTATTTGTACGCTTCGACGTTGCCTCCGAGGAGCACAATGTGATGCGCATTAAGTTCTTGGGCGATTGTTACTACTGTGTAGCTGGATTAGCCAGTCCGAATGACGACCACGCCAAATGCTGCGTGGACTTGGGTCTGCGCATGATCAAGGATATACGCAAAGTCAGGTGAGCTGTAATATAGATGTAACTATAATAATCATTTTGAATAACTATTGCACTAACGTTACTCGACCCCTTTGTCTTCACTTTAGAATAAAACCTTTTTCACTTATGAGGAATAAAGTTATAAGTGGTTATGAGTGTGGTTCAGAACTTTAAAGTTATAAGTAAAGTTCTGAACCACAGGCCTGCCTACATTAAAAGATATGTAGTATGTCTCTGAGCCGTATTCGATTCAGTTCCCAATCAAATAAAAATAATTTGGAAACAGTATATTTTTCAACCAGATTTTCCAGATTGAATCACTTTCTTACCGGATGTAAACCGTATTTCCTCCAATCCCCAGAACAATTCCATAGACCACAAACAATTACAATTACATGCAAATACTAAGTTATTTTTACTCGTTTCACATTGTTCGTTTACAGGGATAGATTCGCAGATTCTAAATCCAAACTGTTTAAAAAACGTGTCCGAATCATTTCTGAGTTTAATTTTGGCAAACATTTGAACTTATACTTCTATTGGGGATGATATAAATACGCAACTATCTTAAGATTGATTCAATGGCTTATATGATTGGATAATAAACGACTTATTAACAATTGCTGCTATAATCTTTATAGGGAGAAGCGTAATTTAAATGTTGACATGCGGATTGGCGTGCATTCGGGCGATGTGCTGTCCGGGGTAATTGGTGCGGCCAAGTGGCAGTTCGATATATGGTCCAAGGATGTGGATATTGCCAACCGTTTGGAGTCCACTGGCGCAACGGGTCGAGTGCATGTGAGTGAGAAGACGTTGAGCTTGCTGGACGGCGAGTATTTCTTCGAGGATGGAACGGAGAAGGCACGGGACGATCCCGTGCTACAGAAGCACGGCATACACACCTTTCTCATCAAGTCGCTACGCGTGAGTATGATCAGTTGTATTGGAAACATAATGTGCATTAAACATACTCAAAGCTGTAGGCCCCCATGCACGATTCGAGACGCATGCAGCGCCAAAGGCAGGCAAAGAAGTTGAGCGAGGCCAGCAAATCGAACTTCATGTATAACTCGACCCTGCAACAGTACAACCAGGTGCGCAATCAGGCCAAGCTGGAAATGTGCCGGGAGCTCGATAAAATGCCCATTGGTCGCATACAGTAAGAAAACGACGAGTCGACGCTTAGCTCTCCAGACTAAAAGGGAGTTCTGAAAACATTTCTCGACAGAATTATGAGGATCTGGAGACGCAACACGCATCTCACGCAGGACGAGCTTGAGGAGCAAAACTTTAGACGCAACATAACCTCATTCTGCTTGTTCTTTCGCCATCGCGACTGGGAGCTGCATTTCATGAAGGAGCCAGATGTAATGCTCAAGTACAGCATTGCGCTCTGCTGGTTGGTCTATTGTGGCTTGCTAGCCATCCAATTGCTGAGCAAGGAGTGAGTATGAAGAGAGTTTAATATTTATACTCTCCATATAAGCAATATCGTTTCTGTAGTCCTCGATATCATTATTGGTACATAGATGGTACGACAATTTGTTTGCTGACTCTGGTATTGATTGTCTCCTGGTATAAGAAGCTCTGGATCATGTATGTGTCCGATGCCGAACAGTCTTTACCCCAAAATCCCATTAGCCTGTACCTGTATAAGGCATCGGATGTCATGCAGCGTAAAATTTGTCTGCGTCTAGCCATATATTTCCTTGTTATCGCCTCTTACTGTGCCGTTACAGCCATGCAGGTGGTAAGTACTCGTAATTGTAATTATTGATTTAACCCATCAAGCATAAAAGCTACTTACAGCTAGATTGCGGACATGAGGACAACCAGGTAGACGAAGTGAAGTACGAGGATCGTCTGTTCTGCTTTCATCCTTGGGTAAGTAGTTCGTTTGTTAAAAAGGATTTCTCTTTTAACTTGAAACTTTTCCAGATACTCACCAACTGCATGACTGTGGTTATTGGCATGACATTTCTCTTCACGCGCATACCCTTCATCATCAAGACTTGTCTGTCGGCGATCATTACCTTCACTTATGCCCTTTTGGTGGTCGTTGAGTTCAACTATATCTACGCCAGCAGTCCCTCGACAAATGTCAATTTCAACGCCGAGTATTCGCATATATTACTCATCTTTATAACACTGGGCATATTTCATTTAATGGAGCGTCAGTCTGAGTTTATAGCCAAGGTCGATTACAGGTAAGCTCACTTCCGTATACAATTTGTATAGAGGCATAAAAGTTCGTTTGCTCGGATAGCTGGAAGCGACAGTTGCTGAAAAAGCAAGATGATGCCTTCATCACTAATGATACTATTAAGGTGCTGCTGAAGAACATTTTGCCCTCCCATGTGGGTAAGTGGAACGCTTTCGTTAAACCTCTTATATGGAATCACTAATATCGTCCACCATCTACAGCGGATTTCTATCTTTCCAATCAGCAACAAAACGAGCTCTACTACGAGGAGTACGATAATGTAGCCGTCATGTTTGCCTCGATCAAAAATTTCGACACTGATAAGATCGGTTTACGCGTGCTAAACGAGATCATATGTGACTTTGACGATGTCGTAAGTAAACATAACCATAATCCCCCCTTCTAATGTTTATAATGTACCGTATATCCTAAGCTAAACAAATATGCAGACAACATTCGCGTGGAGAAGATCAAGGTGGCTAACTGGACGTATATGGCTGCCTGCGGTTTGGATGTTTCCCGTTCCGAGCAGGTCAATGCGCCCCAAATGAAATTTCGAAATGTTTCCTTAATGCCAAATGGACGACGCAGTCGGTACGGCGGTTCACGCAACTCAGACCCCGACCCTAACCTTCCGGGTGGTGTGCATCGAGTGCCCCATGGGAATGGCTCCAACATAGCTCTCGACCTGGAACTCGGACAGTACGAAGGCAATGTGATTACAAATGCGCCACGTGCCAGTGGGAATGGGCCCAGCAATCAGAGGAGGAGCAATGAAGTAGTGCTGGTCATGGCACAATTCGCTCTAGACTTAATGCGAACCATGCGCCGATTCAATGCCGAAAATATGCAAACGGAGTACGAGGGCTCCACAGACTATGGCATGCTGCGCATTGGCATCTCACATGGACGGGCTATGGCCGGAGTGGTCGGCAATTCGAAGCCCCACTACGATATCTGGGGTAATCCGGTGAACATGGCCTCGCGCATGGACTCGACCGGAGTGCCGGGACAGATACAAGTGACCGAGAAGACGGCAGTTATTTTACGAAACTTTAATATACAGTGCAATTATCGGGGTATGACTTTTGTTAAGGGGCGGGGCAACATTCCAACCTATATACTCGGCACCGACGAGCATTATAATGCATTTCTGAAGCATCGACCAGACGCAGGCGATACTACTTGAATTTTTATATAATTTTTATATCTTATAAACTATAGAAATATGTGTAGATATTTATTCACATAAATAAAAGTGATCCAAATTGTAAATAATGTTCGGGAAAAAAACTGAGATAAACTGCAAGCTTTAAACAAAACAATATCTTTTCCTTAAAAATCAAAAATAGCAAAAATGTGCGAGAAATTTCAAGAACGATATCCTTTCGACTATGCCAATGAACGTCGCTGGGAGCTCGCCTATCTTATTGTCAGTATGATCCTCGCTTATATCCCATCTACTCCCTCAGACAAATATCGCTCACTCTGCTCCAATTTAGAAAAAATGCAAGGAAGCTGGCTTGGAGGAGGAATACAAATTGTATCGCATACGATTGCGGATCAGCTATCTTGGAGTCTTTCTCATGCTGCATATAAGTCTCACAGTGGCTCACTGTATTCTGCTGCTGCTAACCTGCGAGGTGAGTGGGCAGATCAACCAATTTGAACAAATCCATATAGAAGTATGTATTCCCCAGCACCCATCCTTAATCTACATTGATGTTTATGTGTATATAGGGGGTGCTGTGATAATTACCCTACTGGTTCTGATCAATTTCCGCAAGGAGTTTGTGACAAAGCATGTATGGATAATGTATTTGACGTCGGTTCTGGCCGCTCTATGTGTAGTCAGTGTTGGTATGTATACTCACAAATCTAAAGATATTTCATATTTACCGATCTTCTCTCCCCTTTAAAAAAAAAAAACAAGTAAAAAAGCTAAAGTCGGGTCGCCCGACTTTGAAATACTCTGTACATATGTTTAGAATAATTAACAAAATTTAAAAGATTAGGAAAATTAAAAAAAAATTTAGATCGATTTTACCTCTTTCGGTATTCGAACTCACGTAAAGGGTGTATAATTGCACATTTACATAGCAATTGCGTCTATGTGAGTGTATATATGCGCGTGCAAGCATGTTTGCAGTCAACAAAAGCACCAGTATCAACAGCTGCGGGCAGCGCTGGAGCAGCAAATATATTTATGGCTTTAACTTCTTGTTAAATCGGTCTATCATAGTGAAACTTGGCATACGGACACATAATAACTAACTGGGGGTATTTATTTAAATTTTAGTTTGAAATTCCAAGAATTACGGGAGTTAGAGAAAATCGCGATTTGCTGGGGAGAGGGGGAGGGAGGGAAATTCAAAAAAAAAGATTTTCTGCGTATTCACATAAGGCAACTTGGACTTTAAATTTGATATCTCTAGGTCTTATAGTCTCCGAGATATAGGCGATTATACGAACGGCGGTACGGAAAAATCCCCATAGGGGGGAAGTGGGGGAAAAATCAAAAAAATAAAACAAACTCGTATAGCGTACACACATAAGGCATCTTTGTGCAAAATTTGGTGTCTATAGCTCTTATAGTCTCTGAGATCCAGGTGTTCATACGGACGGACAGACGGACAGACAGACAGACAGACAGGGCTAGATCGACTCGTCTCGTCAGGCTGATCAAGAATATATATTCTTTGTGGGGTCTGCCACGCCTCCTTCTGCCTGTTGCATTTTTCACTTCCCGCAAACCCTTCAAACCTCTTGTACATTTCATGTACAGAGTACAAAAACAGCGGTGTGTAGAAAAAATAATATACACTACGATATGTCGATTTTTAACTACTATTAAGAAAAATCAGTAGGAATTATATTCATTATTATGGGTTTTTGCAACACTTAGTAACAGATTTGTGTCTTTTATAATTTGCCAATCTGATTGACGTTCTTTTCTGACCCGGATCAGTACATACCACACATATACGGCTATCCTCGGTAGGGAACGACTTTGCTCCTTTGGTTGGAGGCTTCAACGTAGTTGCTATTGACACCTCAACAGGCTTTGCACTTACTGTGCTAGTTGGTTGAGAAGTCTGGCTTTTGACTTCTGGAAAAGTCACTCCTACCTTTTTATGTTTCGCGCAAGCGTACCGACATTCAAAAAGTGTTTGAAAATCGTTGGTGGGATGGATTCTCGGGCAATTGGAAGAGATACTTATACAATCGGATACAAGACTTCGATAAACGTAGAATTTCCGTCGAGGACCACTACATCGGCCCTCATGTCTATACCTATTGATAGTCAAGCAACTTTGGCGTCTTAACACGATGCAATTACCTAAAAAGAACTACCTTACATCTTCAGCGTATATATTTATTTAAAATCTTACCTTACATAAAATAATCCCACAAAATAATACAGTCAACCAATAAAGCCCATTCATTTTGGCCTATGAATTGAAACTATTCGTACAACTGCAACCAAAATTTAAAAGCAATTTGCACGCCTGTAATAGCGTTTAATGAAATCGAAGCGAATAATCACGTAATGAAGATGTTTAAAACATCAAGTGGAGAACAAAAGAAACACAATTCTTTCAAAAACCTTGTCTTAAACTGTGTTTTCTTACCAAGAGATATTTTTCCACTATAGAGCTAATAATTCTATTAGCTTATGCCTTTACATTAGTGCCCCAATTTTAGCTGATATTAAAAGCTTTTCTACATTAGCTTCAAACAACGAAATATGGCTCCTAATTTTTAGACGTTGAACAGCTAGTTGGAATCAGTATGGGTTTTATTTGTTAACAAATTTGTGTAGTCTCCGTTGATATGTATAGTGAGAAAACAAAATTCTTCTCTCGTGAATAACATTTACATGCTACAAAGGAAAACTGGGTGTTCAAAACATAATTTACACAACGAAATGTGGATTTTTACTTCTATTACGATAAATCTGTAGCATTTTATATAAGAAATTAGATTTCTTCTTCAAAAATTACCTTTTGGTGCGCGTTTCTGCAACTCCTTATAAAATTTGTGCCTTTTAAAATTTGCCATTCTGAACGATGTTCTTAACAGCTTGCGATATGTACGGCCTTCCTGGCCAGGCAACGGATTTATACCATGGGTTGTAGGATTCAATGTAGTTTCTATTGAAATATCAGCAGGAGGTGCACATTCTGTGGCAGTTGGTTCAGGTTGGTCAGGATTGCTCTTGACTTCTGGAAAAGTCACGCCTAGCTTTTTATGTTTCGCGCAAGCGTACCGACATTCAAAAAGTGTTTGAAAATCGTTGGTGGGATGCATTCTCGGGCAATTGGAAGAGATACTTATACAATCCGATATAAGACTTCGATAGACGTAGAATTTCCGCCGAGGTCCACTACATCGGCCTTCATGTCTATACCTATTGATAGTCAAGCAGTTTTGGCGTGTTAACCGGGCGCAACTACCTAAAAGGAACTGCATTACAGCTTCAGTGTATATATCTGTTTAAAATATTACCTCTGTCTCCACATAAAATTATCCCACAAAGTAGTACAAACAACCAACAGAATCCATTCATTTTGGCCTATGAAATGATACTATTTTTTTTACCACTTAACAAGTTAAAAGTTATTTGCACGTCTGTAATGCCGTTAAATGAAATCAAAGCGAATAAGCACATAATGGAGAATTGGTCTATATTCTAAAGTTATAAATAATATTGTCTCAATATGTTTCGAACAAAAGGAAAGCAATCATTTAGTACACCTATATAATGCAGTCTAAATACACGATCCCGGAGAACAGCTAATGTGTTTTTAGCAGTAGATATTTTCCCAATATAGAGCTAAGGGAGTAGCTTTTGCTTATTCGTTTCTTTAACTTAGATTAAAAATAAGAAGAAGAAAAAACAAAAGAATATAATAATCAAATATCAGAAGATTTTCTACGATAGCTTCAAACAACGAAACATGGCTCCTAAATCTTGCTAGTTGAACAGCTAATTCTAATCAGTATGGGCTTTACAAGTATTTGTAAATATTTATATTTTAAAAACTAACAATTCATTTAACTATTTAAAGTGACCTTTTTTACTGCCTTACCGCTTGTTTTTACAGATTTATTGCCGAATATGTACCATTACTATGCTGAAGATATAGCTCTGGGTTCGTTTTACGACACCTATGTACTATTTATGATATACATGTTTCTGCCCATACCGTTCATAAAGCCTCCCCTGGCTTTGGGCATATCAGTATCCATGATATATACTGGCTACTTCGTGTACTTTATGTCATCCACATACCATTACGAACTAACTGAAATAAGCACATACGATTATATGAGCCTCGATGTGGCGCATTACGTTTGCTTCAATCTGCTGGGCGCATTCTTTCGCTATATGTCCGAAATAATAATCCGCTCATCGTTTCTGGATCGCCATCAGTACGTTTTGGAGGACATTTGGTTGCGTAATGCCCGCAAGCAGGAACTAAAACTGCTTCACAACATATTGCCACCACAAATAGCACGTCCCATACAGGATTATATACGTAATCGAATTATTGCGGATAAGGATGGGGTTGGACATCCGAATTTAATATTCGAACGCATTATAAGCATACAATTGCATCCGCTAGTCTCCATTCTTTATGCGGATGTGGTCAACTATACCTATTTAACAACAACTCTTTCGGTGGAGACGCTGGTTTCGCTGCTGCATGATCTCTATGCTCGTTTCGATATGGCGGCCATACGATTTAAGGTTCAACGAATCAAATTCCTGGGCGACTGCTATTATTGCGTGGCTGGCCTTGTCCGCTCTAATCCTGATCATGCCAAAAGCTGTGTGGAACTGGGACTGAGCATGATTCGACATATAAGAGAAGTTCGGTACGTCATAAACTACAAACTATGTATTTCCCATATTTATCTGCTTAAATCGAGAAATCTTACAGGGAGGAATGGAAAGTAGACATCGATATGCGCATCGGTGTGCACTCTGGCGACCTTTTCGCTGGGGTTGTCGGCAAGGCCAAATTGCAATACGATGTTTGGGGTAAGTGCGGATTGAAGGGTCGAAGTTTTCCGGATGCCTTAACTGTGCTTCTATAGAGATGTCTGTGAGTCTGTAGAGATGTCTTCGTTGAAGGGAGTGGAAGAGATCTCAGCATGCTGAGTCTGCTTCTAACGAACTCCACTTATTACAAGCTGTTCCAAGTTTTAATTTCATTTTCTTTCTGCCCCCATAAGAATTGGAAGACAGGTTTAACAACATTTTTTCACTATTCTACAGGTCTTCACAGTTCTATATCAAGCACTTACTTCAATAAATTAGTTGGTTGTTAGTTCCTCCTTTACCACTAACAAGACATTACCTCCTAAGCATTACGAGATTTCCTATACCATCGCGTCTCTTACCTTTGCGCTTGTCAGCACATTTTTGGACTTAATATTGATAGACTATTTGTGGTTATGGCTGGTCCACAAACACATTAAGAGGAATGTACAAGTATAAAATATTATCAATTCTTTTCTGTAGGAACCGATGTTAAAATAGCCAATCGCTTGGAATCTACCGGCAGGGCAGGCTATGTTCACATCAGCAAGCAAGTGCTGCACATGCTGGGCGATGAGTATGAAGTGGAACCGGGACCAGAGGGAGCCGTTTCTGATGAGTTTCTGAAACACCACAATATCGTGACGTACTTGATTAAATCAGGAGATCCGGAAATCCTCACTGATAGTACCTACTCGCTCAAGATCATTGAATCATGGTCCGTCATAGGAGTTTCAAGGGAGAACAGCCTTTATGACTCCGCCAGTGTAGAACTACACAATGAGCTCCACAAAATGCCTGTTGGAGGCTTAAAGTGAGATCTAATCTGAAATATTTTGCGCGTTAAATATTACTGATCCATTTTTTTTTTTTTGAAGAATTATGGATTTGTTTAGCTGCAAGAAAGTGCAGAAGGTGGAGGAGGTGGAGGAAGAGGAAGAAAAGTTTCGTGATATGTCACTGTTCTGGCTTCACTTTCGTGATCCATCACATGAGTGGAACTATATGCGTCAACCGGACTATATGTTTAAGATCAGTATTCTGCTTGCCTGGTTCATTGGCGTCAGCCTCGTTGTAATGCAGCTGATAGATCAGAAAAACCCCAGTTGGATTACCAACGTAATCGATGTCGTACTCCTTGTGGGACTGAGCACCTTGCTCTTCATTACCTGGTACAAAACGATCTGCTATTGCAGACATGGAGACCGAGAGCTGTATACACTTACATACAGTCTCTTCAGCCATTTTATATTCCGCAGTGCAGATTATATACAAAAGAGCTTGGTGGTGCGCATGTGCATCTATATGTATGTGATTATCGTATACTTTGCTATTCTGTCGATCATGCTGGTAAGCTTTCAATCAGGGACTGTAATCATTACAAGTGTTATTATAAAAATAACAAAATTCTGATCATTTTTGTCATTTTATTCATTCTCTCACAATATGATGTTTAATTTGGAGTTTTATTTTACAACTTAATCAATTATTATTTTTGAGCAAAATCTCTTCGAAAAATACAAAATTACAACACGAGTTTTATTTCTGATCAAAAAATAAAACTTAAACAATACTCATTATTTTATGAGTTTTATTTTTGATCAAAAATTATTATTATTCATTAAGTTGTAAAATATAACGCAATATTAATCATTATATGGTGAGAGAATGAATAAAAATTTTAATTTTTAAATCATGGTGCACATAAATCATATGCACAGATAATCCTTAAAGTAGGATATGTGTTTAATCCTCGTTTTTTTAAAGTTCCTATAAGTGAATTATTTTTTTCTCTTTAAAAAAAACAAAAGAATCGTTATTTGCGGTTCCTAGCTTCAGTCCACCACCCATTTGTAAGCCTAGATTTGACTCTCTGCTCTGATTACAGGCGGGCTGCAGCCGCGATGAGTATGAAGTTCTGATGATTGATAGCAAGCTATATCACTACGATCTGGATGCCAACATGTGCTTCCATCCTTGGGTGATGAGCAATATGGTTTCACTCATCATTGGCATGAGCTTTATTTTCACTCGAATTCCATTTATGGCCAAAACTCTAGGTAAATTGATAAACAAAAGATGATATGTATATTATATATATTTATATTAATTATACGAATTTTTATTTATATACTATATTTTTACGATTTTTTAGTTGGCGGAATGGAAACTATCATATATATGGTCTTATTATTCTTTCAGTTCGAGTTTATTTTTCATCACAGCCCGACTACAAATCCGTTTTTTTTTACGGAGTATGCTCATAGCATGCTTATTGTTATGACCTTAGTCAGCATGTATCTGATGGAACGTCAAACCGAGTTTAACAATAAAGTTAATTTTAGGTAAGCCAAAGTTATAAAGTAATGGGATATTTTATAAAACTTTTAAATGCCAAGATGTATTGAGATATTGGGTTAAACAAACAATATGTTTTAATTCAATTCATATTCGTCTGCTTGTTGTTAATAAATATTAATTTAACTGTCCCTTACAGCTGGCGGGTGGAGCTCATGAAGAAGCAACGCGATGCCCATTTGACGAATGAATCTATTTTAATAATGCTTAACAATATATTGCCCTCTCACGTGGGTAAGTGTCCGCTGCATCTTGATTTTAAATTGCTCTCAATACCTCAATAACTCTTGCTTAAAGTTAACGTTTATTTAACGTCGCTGGCCAAGGGCGAACTATATTATGAAAACTACGATATGGTGGCCGTTATGTTTGCCTCAATTAAGGACTTCAATATAGATTTAGCAAACTTGCGGCTGTTAAACGAAATTATATCCGAATTCGACAAGCTCGTATGTTCATCCCCATATACTATCTACATACTTGTATCTTACATCCATATGTATCTTCTCTTTACTTATCCAGCTATCCTTCTATAAGGACTACTATATGGTGGAGAAGATTAAAATAGTTAGTTGCACCTATATGGCTGCTTGCGGTCTAGACCTAGCACTGTCCGATGGCATCAGCAGGGAGTATGGCTCTATAAAAGATGAGGGTAAGTGGTTGGACTGGGTTTGTGGGTTTCTAAAATTAACCGACCTGTGGCATTCTCTCAATCCCACGTAGTGGAACGCGCTCGACAGGCACGCGCAAGTCTTGGAGACCAGAGTCAGAACAATGAGGAGGTTGTCTTTGTGCTCACCACATTTGCCCTCGATATGATGCGCACCCTGTGGGCCTTCAACAATCTATATTTGATGCAACATATGCCCTACGATCGCGCTTTATCGACCGGCATCATGAGCATTGGAATATCGTGTGGTCAGGTGATGGCCGGAGTAGTGGGGGCCTCGCAGCCCCACTATGATATCTGGGGTGATCCGGTGAATATGGCTTCACGAATGGATAGTACTGGGGTGCCAGGAAAAATTCAAGTTACCGAAAATACAGCCCTCATATTGCGAGAGTTCGGTATACAGTGCAATTATCGGGGCATGACAATGGTAAAGGGCCGTGGCCAAATACCCACCTATTTCGTAGGCATTGACGAGGACTACTATTTCAAGAATCATGGTGATAGTGCTCGGCGACCACGACACGGAGATGGACAGACCCGTAACTTTTTGCTTGAACAGCGAGAGTCTAATGCTGTGCCAACAGATAACATTAAAAACAATGACTTTCAAATGTAGAACATACTATATGTTTGGTTGATTCAGTAACTTGAGTTTTTACACTCAAAATAAATAGTAGAACAAAAAGTAAATATAGTCTTTCCCAACAAATCGCATCATGACAGAACAAACAGAAATAAAACCCGATGAAAATCCTATAGAAGAGATATCTAGTCAGGGATCTTTCGATGAGGAGTTCACAACTGGCGAGAATTTGAAGAAATGGGACTGGCATATATTACGCGTAAGCTCCATTCTGTTAAAGTTATCTTCTCCAAACTTATGCTTGATGGGCCTTAGACAAAATGCATCAGCTTGGGCATCGAGAAACTCTTTTGGCGATATGTCGAGCGTTTAATGATTACCAATATAGCGCTCTATCAGTTTACAATTGTGACATTACTGCTTTTTCACATACTATGTCTTATATTTGGCGCTGTGGTAAGCGGCTACTTCCAACTAATTTATCTTAATACAACCAATTGAATGTTCGATATGCAGGAACACAATTATTCCATTACGCTGTATGGGGTCGGTATGGTGCTGGTGCCGGTAGTTCTCTTCGCTAATTTCAGACAAATCGACAGAGGTAAGCGGAAGAGACCCTGGGCCGCAATCTCAAGCTGGGCGGTTACTCTGATACTGACACTCATGGGTAAATTTTCTCTACACTTCCAACTTCTTTTTATATACATATCATGCTTATTGCAGATATCGGTGTTGGTCTTTGGATATCAGACTACACCGGCATTGTGATTCCTTGTTACGATCACATCGTAGTGGTATCGATCTATCTATCTCTGCCAATTGGCGTCAAAGTAGAGGCTCCCTTACTAGGCGCCACTGTATCCTTATTGTACTTTCTTGATGTAGTTTTTATTTATCGGAAAGCCCGACGTTTGCAATTTTTTCACTTATTAGACTACGCCATCTATCTTTTTACACTGAACTTTATTATGGCAATATTCCCATTTTTCCGTGAGGTTAACTTACGCAAAAAGTTACTGGGCCGCCGCCAACTCCTACAGGAACACTATCTACTAAAGGCTGCAGTGGAAAACGAGACAGCCCTAATACATTGTATTCTGCCACAGCGCATTGCAGATACGCTTAAAGGGGATATACGAAAACGCATAAAACAGAAAGGAATCCAACGATATATGGTTCCTGCTTTTCGGTGAGTATATGGGATTCTAATTGGTGCGCTCATTCCTTCACTTTTTCCAGTACAGCACCCTATTTGTAGAGCCCCATTCGAATGTCTCCATCCTATCGGCTGAAATCATGAATTACACTTCGCTTACCACCACTATGGAAGTTAAGGAATTGGTTATGTTCCTGCATGATCTCTTTGTCAGGTTCGATGTGGCTGCTGAGAAGAACGAGACGCAACGCATTCAGTTTCTGGGAGATCGCTATATTTGCGTGGCCAGCATCCCAAAACCGAACCCGGCACATGCCAAATGCTGTGTGGACTTGGGCCTGGAGATGATCAGCATTGTAAGCGCCATAAACGAGCGGAGACATCTCATTATTGACATGCGCATCGGTGTAAATTCGGGGGAAATTTTTACTGGAGTTGTTGGCTCCGTTAAGTGGCAATACGATATTTGGTCACCAGATGTGGATATTACCTATCGCTTGTCCGAAACGGGAAGGGTTGGCAAAGTACATGTTACAGAACGCACATTGAAGCTGCTAGAGAATGAATACGTTTACAGCGAAGGCACTGAGCGAGCCAGGAATGATCCGGTTTTCGTTCGGGATCTCATCAAAACATATTTGGTATCGAAAATGCGGGACTCTGTGCTAAGCATACAAATAGAGGAATATTCCAGGCGCAACATAAGAGAGTCTCTGGCGAGCTTAAGCTCAAATATCGTTCCCTTAAAATCAGACCAAGATATGTTCAAAGAGATACGTCGTAAGACAAAAGATGGCATGATTGAAGAAGTCGAGAACATGGCTACGGGTCGGACACAGTATGCGAAATCATGTATACTTTTTAGATTAACCAGTTGACTATTTTGTATATATACTCGCAGATTTTCACGCATTTTTAACTTCTCGAAGAAGTCAAAGGACACCGCTGAGGACTTTCTGTTCAAGACGCAGGTTACATCGGTTTTCATGCTATTTCGGAACGCAAAAGATGAGTGGAAATATTGTAACCAATCTGATGTTCTTATGAAATACACAATGTTCCTCACTTTTTTTGCTGGCATCATGATATTTTTAAAAATTGCGGTACAGAAGTAGTAAGTGAATGTACTTCCAGCTCAACTTGATTAACTTGATTGATATAATACATTTGCAATTAATTTCCAGCACTACGTTGAAGCAAATGTGGCAATTGATTTTACTGCTCATCGTGTTGGCTCTTATGTTCCTGTGCGCTTTCTTCCAGAAATTATGGCTTAGGTATGGTCGGGAGACAGTCTGGCAGCAGCCCAGATTCACCCTGACGCGCTGGATTATTTTAGCATCTGAGTTAATTGAAAACCGCCTGTTAGTTCGTATGATACTGTGCTGCCTAAGTTTCGCGATTCTATATACAATGGCTACAATACAAGTGGTAAGTTTTTTGCTCCCCTCACATCCGCTGCGGGACTACCCACATATTACAATTTCCTACAGATGGACTGTCCACATAAGGCTTTCGAACTGGAATTAATTGAAGCCGAGCTAAGCGATACAATACCAGCACACATTTGCTTTCGACCATGGGTATTTTTTGTCCACTCAAATGTTTCTAGATCTACAAGTATAATGCAAGTACAATTTTTGCAGGCCATCACACACAATATTGTAATAGTGGTCTTGACAATAATACTTTTCTTTGGCGTGCCTATGATGTACAAGCTCGGCATTTGTGGCCTAATCATTATTTCGTACATCTTCACCATCAATTTGACATATGACTTTGCCTATGAACGATCCGAAACGACAAATTGGTTCTTTCGCGCCGAGGCTGGACACACATGGTATGTGGTAGCGTTCTTTCTAATGCTCATCATCAAGGAGCGACACATCACATTTGTGAACAAGGTGGATTACTCGTAAGTTTCTGCTGCGTTGTTAAAATCCATAAAAACTTTATATTTTGATTACGAGTAGCTCGAGATTACGGTATGAGATGGAACAGAAACGAACGGAGAAAACAAATCGAACGATTAAAATACTAATGGCCAACATCCTGCCCCTGCATGTGGGGGAACTGTTTTTGGAGAAGCGGCGCAAGAACGAATTTTTCTACGAACAAATAGATAAGGTTGCCGTTATGTTCGCTCAGATTGTCAGCGTTGATGTCGACCGCCTGGGACTGCGAGTCCTGAACGAATTCATTTGTTACTTTGATGATCTTCTAGACCAGTTCCAGAGTAGATTCAAAATAGAGAAGATAAAAGTGGTCGGTTGGACTTATATGGCCGCTTGTGGTTTGCAGGTGGACCGCTTTTCGGACCTATCGGTCACAACGGTTGACGATGACGATGACGAGGAAAACAGAAGTATTTGATGGTTTTATAATTAATTGCTTTTCCTGTCTTTAAGATTTCTCCACGAGTTTGCATTTTTCCCCATCCCTTCTTCCCTACTGAGCTGAATTTTCTGAATTTAAATGCGGAAAAGCATTTCCTCTTATCCGATTGTCCGGCCTTTTATCGTTTCCGTCCTCTTCCACAGACTGATGATAGAATCGTGTCAACTTTTTTCATACAAAAGACAGTAAAAGACATGTAGATTCGACTTTTTCAAATATACAAGTATATTGCATTATCGTATTAATTTTCAGGTAGTGTGCGTTTTGATACGAACATCGATAATTCTTCAGACGATTGGTTCGTAGATCGAAGATTTGTAAGGCCAAAAAAACATCGTTTCCTTAGAGCCGACGATGAGTGCGTTTTCATAATGAGCCAATTCGCATTAGAATTATTGCGAGTAACTCGGGAGCTTAGAGTGCAGAATATATTCCTAGACAATGGAAGAAACATTCGGGGAATGTTAAAAATCGGTGCGTTATTTCTTATCCATTAACTAAACCTCTATATATATTCTTGCCTACCCCAGGAATCTCCCACGGAACTGTCTCCGCTGGAGTGGTAGGCATTTCGAAACCGCACTATGATCTGTGGGGACATCCAGTTAACCTTGCCTCCGAAATGAGTAACACCGGTGTCTTAGATGCCATCCATGTGAGTGAGCGAACCGCAGTGGTTTTACGGCGCTATGACATCAGATGTGATTATCGCGGACAGACATCTTGTAAGAGTCTGGGCGAACTACCCACCTATTTAGTCGCAGTCGATGAATCATCAAATTTTATGCCTAACGAAGATGAAGACCTATATCCTGGTCAGTTTATGGACGACAATGAGGATATGGAAATTGTTGAGCGTTTGTCAGTCGGCTCAAGGGATTCCCTATTTCTGTCACCTTCAGATTATATTTTGAACATAAAGAGCAGCGAACCCGGTCAAACGGGGTCGCATTTGGAAGATGATACAGATTATGAGGAGGAGAAGGAGTTCATTCAAACACTCATACCAAAAAGCGATTCTATTTATTCAATAACGAGCAAGACTTTAAAAACATCTTCATCTTTCGGTAAAAAAACTCGCAGCACATTATTTCATCGAAAGAAGGACAAAAGAAGGTTGCAGATGGATACATCCAATATCGTTACGCAAACATTGCCTGATGAAAGCATGGAGCCAGATGAAAACGCACACGAAGAAGAGGAGGAGCAGGAACGCGAGACAGGATCCGAAAAAGACAAAAACCGTTTGAGTGGCGGTGCACCCAACTTTTACCTTGAAGATATTGAAGATAATGATTCAGATGCTTAAATACATAGTCTATACTACTCGTATATACTGAAAATATCATTACCTTTGTTTGAATTTGTTTTTTATTAACGTTCTCGAAGGTGTAGTCTTTGACGGTATGTGGTTCAGATTAAGCATAAACAGGCATGCCACACTAGCGGATAACCCTCCTCGCTTTGAGACACCCTATATTCTGAAAGGTCATGTTACCTATTGGAGATAAGACTCTTCATCTTCTTCCGACTTTAAGCCCTGAAGCTGCTAAGTTGAGTTCTCTCGTATTTGATTAAGTTCGCCATCCTGCTACAAAATCAATGAATGCTGGTCTTATTACCGAAACAAATGGCCTCTTCATTCCGATTTATACTATTCACCAAAGGAAAGGCATATTGGGAATTCGACAAACCTACAGTACGAGTTACTGTATTACAAATTGAGCCTTTCAGTAAAACAAACGTGCGAGTATTTTCTACAGTGTGATTTCTAAAATCTTAACTAAATCTAATCAAGGAGTCCACATATATCTAAGAAGAGGAGGATAGGAGAATTTTCATACCAAGTTCGGTTATTCTAGCTCTTATACTTCCCGATATCCTTGCGTTCATACAGACAGACGGATAGATGGACGATCTGTATCGATTCGTCTTGTCATAGAAATCATGAAGATAAGCCTAACCCTCGCTTAACAAGGGGGTTGCGTTCCTAGAACAGAGAAATCGTGTTAAACGAGACAAAATTGAGTTAAAGAAATGCGCTTCTTTTTTTTAATATTTATAAACTTCTATCGTGTTAAAAGGGAAAAGATAGCAAATTTTTAATCATCTTTAACCGAGTGCGTATTAAAATAGATCGTGTTAAGCGAGAGCTAAGAACGTCCGGCACGCATACTTCTATGTGTTACATGTACACTCGCACAAAACTAGTACCATTACCATTTGTACCTAAATGGGCATCAAAATTAAGTAAATAATTATTTTGTTTACTTCTTATCACAAAGGAACCTAATCAAAGGACCTCTAGACTTTTTCTGTAGTGGGCGGAAAAACAATACATATATATGCCGGCGGTATATATAAATTTCTTCGACAATTTCTAGAACATGAAGGTCACCTATCTGTAGAATAGAATAAAATGCCTAATTATTATATAGCAACAAGAGTTTCTATACTCAAACTAAATTCAAATATTGTTTTTTTTTTCCAGGCCGCATCATGGGCACAGATGAAAAAATCGAAGAAGACTTTTTGGATAATGCATCTTTTAATGGTGAATATATATCTGGAGAAAGGAAATTGGATTGGGAAGTTATGCGCGTAAGCTCAGTTTTCTGCCTGTCCGATTCTTTAATGTAATGTCACAAGATCTTTAGATTAAATGCAGCAATCTTGGATTGGAGAAATATTATAAGCGATATGATGAACGAGTGATGGTATCAAATCTGGCCCTCTTTCAGTTCATTGTTGTGTCAATAATTTCTTTTCATATTGTATGTCTCTTATTAGGCGCTGTGGTAAGTGAATTGCATAAATGAATTGGTTGAATAAGATAGTTATATCAACATATCCATATGCTGCGCAGGAACACAGTTTATCACTTATTCTGTATGCAGCTGCTTTATTTCTGGTGCCGGTAGCCCTCTTTATTAATTTCAAAGATACCAAGAAAGATAAGCGCATGCCACGGTGGCGCGTTATTTCAAGCTGGGTGGCTGCTCTGATACTGACATTTATGGGTATATCTTGACCCCAAAGTACCACTATGTTAGGATTTTGTGATAGATGTGAAAGGTAATGAAGACTCACTAAAATATAACCATTAAATAAATATATAGATATATAGTGCCTGACGCATAATCTTATCATAGTGGTACCTTTCTTCCAAGGGTGGTATAACATCTGTCTTCAATATCTATAGAAGGTGAATAGAACGAAAAAATAATAAATATTTTACAAGAGAGACTGTTCATTGTCCGAATCAAAATCACCTTCTAGTTGGTAATCGATCAGATGTTATCACACTCTTTTCTTTTAAGTACATTCCTCTCTAATCACACTATTTCCAGACATCGGTGTGGGTCTTTGGATATCTGATTATACCGGCATTGTGATTCCTTGTTACGATCACATTGTAGTAATATCGATATATCTTTTTCTACCCGTTCGCATCGTTAGCCGTTCAATTATCTTGGGCTTAGCTGTATCGTTACTTTACTTCGTTCACCTGATTTATGTTTATTGGAAAGCACAACGTTTACAATTGACGCACCTATTAGGTTATGCAATCTATCTCCTGTCGCTGAACCTTCTATCGACAATTTTCCCCCTTCTGCGCGAGTTCTATATGCGCCAAGTACTGTTGGGGCGCCGAAAACTCCTGCAAGAAAAATTTTTGCTATCAGCAGCAATGGAAAATGAGACAGCCCTAATAAATACGATACTGCCTCAACTAATTGCCGATACGCTGAAGGAAGATATCAGAAAGCGTATAGAGAAGAGAGGACGACGCAGCTCGTTGTGGCCTGTCCGTCGGACGCTATTTGTAGAGCCCCATTCAAATGTCTCCATCCTATCCGCTGACATCATGAATTACACTGCGCTTACCACCACTATGGAAGTTAAGGAATTGGTTATTTTCCTGCATGATCTTTTTGTCAGGTTCGATGTGGCTGCTGAGAAGAACGAGGTACAGCGCATTAAGTTTCTGGGCGATCGGTACACCTGCGTGGCCAGCATCCCAAAACCGAACCCGGCACATGCCAAATGCTGTGTGGACTTGGGCCTGGAGATGATCAGCATTGTCAGCGCTATAAGCGAGCGACGACAACTCATTATTGACATGCGCATCGGTGTGAACTCGGGGGAAATTGTTGCCGGGGTTATCGGCTCCATTAAATGGCAATATGATATTTGGTCACCAGATGTGGATATTGCCTATCGCTTGTCCGAGACGGGGAGAATCGGCAAAGTGCATGTTACAGAACGCACGTTAATGTTACTCGAAAATGAATACCTTTATAGCGAAGGCACTGAGCGAGCCAAGCAGGATCCGGTTTTCGTTCGGGACCTCATCAAAACATATTTGGTATCGAAAATGCGAGACTCTGTGCTAGACATACAAATAGAGGAATATGCCAGGCGTGACATTAAAGGGCCTTTGGCCAAATTGAGCGCAGGTACCATTCCTTTGAAAACAGACCTAGATATGTACAATGAGATACGCTTCAAGACAAAATCTAGTATGATTGAAGAAGTCGAAAACATGGCGTCGGGTCACGCAGGGTAAGCTAAAAAAAAGTGACGATATATACTATAGTGACGACATAAACAATTTTCAGATTTGCTCGTATATTTGACTTCTCGAAGAACTCCAAAAGTTCCGCCGAGGACAACCTCTTCAAATCGCGGGTTACCGCCGTTTTTTTGTTGTTTCGAAATGGAGAAGAAGAATGGAAGTTCATTAACGTACCGGATGTGCTTATGAAATACACGTGTTTCGCGGCAGTTGTTGCTGGCCTAATGATATTCCTTAAAATTGCAACCCAAGACTAGTAAGTAGTTGTATATAATTATAATTCCCGGTTATTTCTGTTCCCTGTACCCGAACGATAAAACAGCTATGGAGTTATCAAATTAGTCTGTTTTATACGCAGAGTATTACAAGTCATAAAAAGCCGTAATATTTTAAAAAGCTCCCATCGTTCTTAACGATAACTTATTTGATTATGAAGATATTTCAATTTTTATTCTCATGAGATTTTTGTAGTCTCTCAACAAAAAATAAATAAAATAAAATATCTACTATAGAAAAGATTAGTACAACAGATTTAGTATGCATAGTTGAATTGCTATAGAAACGGTACAGGGTATTCATGAGTCGGCTTGGACGACTTTAATATATATATTATACTCGTTTGTATATTGTGCCCTACACTGCATAGTCCAATGGTGCTACACCTAATTCTGTTTTTACACGGTTCTGATTTAACACGGTTTGAAGATTAAAAATTGTATATTTGGTGCACAATTTTATTCCATTTAACACGATTAAAAATGACATGATCAATGTCCTTTTTACACGGGTTTTTTACGCGACTTTTTCTGAAACCAATCTACCGTGTAAAAACAGAATTAGGTGTATATTGAGTTTGGGGTGATTGCTTATAACACCCAGAAGGATGAATGGTAACCACTTGTTATACCTAGCATACCCATAGTTTTTTTTTTTTTGACTCAGATCATTCTGAGCGATATAATTTAAAAATAGTGTTTGTTTCAAAAAATTGTTTAAAGCTATGGGAACCAATTGCACCTCTGATGGTTTTTGTAAGAAGGGTAAAAAATTCTTTCAAATGAATGGTTAGATAATAGTGGAACATTAGGACGACACAGTGAAGTGCACATATATAGCTTCGGTTCAGACGAAGATAACTTTTCAGCTCGCTTTTCAATTAATTCCTAGCACTAGGATAAAGCACACGAAGCAGTTATTATTAATGCTTGTCGTGTTGTTTATTATATTCGTGTGCGCTTTCTTTAAGAAATTCTGGACAATGTGTAGTCGAGTAGCTTTGTGGGATCTCCCAACATTTTTCCTGTGGCGCTGGCTTTATTTCGTATCTGACTTTATAGAACAGAAGCTAGTAGTTCGCCTGTTTCTGTGTTTTTTAATTTCAATGATTCTCTACTTAATGGCTACGAAACAAGTGGTAAGATACCCAGCTTTTTTCAAGTCTTATTAAAAGGTTAATGATTGCCATTCTTTTCAGATGGACTGTCGGTATAAAGCTTTCGAACTGGAACTGATTGAAGCTGCGCTTAGCAATACCATCCCAAAAGACATTTGCTTCCGACCCTGGGTATTTTCAGTTTTTCAATTCCCTTTTAGCCGAATAATGGAAGTCAAATAATTTGCAGGCCATCACCCATAATATCATCCTCGTAATTTTGATAACGTTCTGCTTCTTTAGCATGCCTCTGATCTTCAAACTTGCAGTCGGTCTCATACTCATAGGTGCGTACATCATCACAATAAATGTAACATATGACTTTGCCTATGAGCGTTCCGAGACGACGAATTGGTTCTTTCGTGCCGAGGCTGGACACACATGGTATGTGGTATCGATCTATCTACTGCTGATCCTGAAAATGCGGTACAACACATTTGCCAAGAAGTTTAATTACTAGTAAGGGTCGTGTCGATAGTATAGTCGCTCTAGTCGTTCGTTAATTTTACGTTATTTTTATTAGCATGCAATTGCGCTTTGAAGATGAGCAGAAAAGAACGGAAAACACAAACAAATCTATCAGAGTACTAATGGCCAACATCCTGCCCCTGCATGTGTGGGATATGTTTTTGGAGAAGCGGCGCAAGAACGAGTTTTTCTACGAACAAATAGATAAGGTTGCCGTTATGTTCGCTCAGATTGTCAGCGTTGATGTCGACCGGCTGGGACTGCGAGTCCTGAACGAGTTCATCTGCTACTTTGATGATCTTCTAGACCAGTTCCAGAGTAGATTCAAAATAGAGAAGATAAAAGTGGTCGGTTGGACTTATATGGCCGCCTGTGGTCTGGAGGTGGATCGAATTTCTGACCGTTCAAACACAACAATTGATGATGATGATGAAGATGATAACAGAAGTACCTTATGATTTCTTTACTCGCACCCGTTTCTTTCTTATTCTATTTTTTAGTTATCTCTCTCTCTCTCTCTCTCTCTCTCTCTCTCTCTCTCTCTCTCTCTCTCTCTCCAATCTCAATATAATGTATTATCATCTTTTAACGTTTGCAGGTAGTGTTCGTTTTGATATGGTTTTAGATAAAACAACTGATGATTGGTTCTCCGATCAAAGATCGTTAAAGCCACGGCAACATAAGTTTCTAAGACCGAACGACGAGTGCGTTCTCGTTCTGACTAAGTTCGCATTGGAACTGTTGCGGGGATCTCGAGAACTTTCAGCCAAGAATATGTTTTTAGAAAATGACAGAAATATTGGAGGATCGTTGAAAATCGGTGCGTTTTTCTACATCTTTCTTTCGCATTCACTAACCCGCTCAGTCGCTGTTTCACACAGGCATCTCCCACGGACCTGTCTCCGCTGGAGTGGTAGGCATTTCGAAACCGCACTATGATCTGTGGGGACATCCAGTTAACCTTGCCTCCGAAATGAGTAACACCGGTGTCTTAGATGCCATCCATGTGAGTGAGCGAACCGCAGTGGTTTTACGGCGCTATGACATCAGATGTGATTATCGCGGACAGACATCTTGTAAGAGTCTGGGCGAACTACCCACCTATTTAGTCGCAGTCGATGAATCATCAAATTTTATGCCTAACGAAGATGAAGACCTATATCCTGGTCAGTTTATGGACGACAATGAGGATATGGAAATTGTTGAGCGTTTGTCAGTCGGCTCAAGGGATTCCCTATTTCTGTCACCTTCAGATTATATTTTGAACATAAAGAGCAGCGAACCCGGTCAAACGGGGTCGCATTTGGAAGATGATACAGATTATGAGGAGGAGAAGGAGTTCATTCAAACACTCATACCAAAAAGCGATTCTATTTATTCAATAACGAGCAAGACTTTAAAAACATCTTCATCTTTCGGTAAAAAAACTCGCAGCACATTATTTCATCGAAAGAAGGACAAAAGAAGGTTGCAGATGGATACATCCAATATCGTTACGCAAACATTGCCTGATGAAAGCATGGAGCCAGATGAAAACGCACACGAAGAAGAGGAGGAGCAGGAACGCGAGACAGGATCCGAAAAAGACAAAAACCGTTTGAGTGGCGGTGCACCCAACTTTTACCTTGAAGATATTGAAGATAATGATTCAGATGCTTAAATACATAGTCTATATCTACTCGTATATGCTGAAAATATCATTACCTTTGTTTGAATTTGTTTTTTATTAACGTTCTCGAAGGTGTAGTCTTTGACGGTATGTGGTTCAGATTAAGCATAAACAGGCATGCCACACTAGCGGATAACCCTCCTCGCTTTGAGACACCCTATATTCTGAAAGGTCATGTTACCTATTGGAGATAAGACTCTTCATCTTCTTCCGACTTTAAGCTCTGAAGCTGCTAAGTTGAGTTCTCTCGTACTTGATTAAGTTCGCCATCCTGCTACAAAATCAATGAATGCTGGCCTTATTACCGAAACAAATGGCCTCTTCATTCCGATTTATACTATTCACCAAAGGAAAGGCATCTTGGGAATTCGGCAAACCAACAGTACGAGTTCCTGTATTACAAATTGAGTCTTTCAGTAAAACAAACGTGCGAGTATTTTCTACAGTGTGATTTCTAAAATCTAAACTAAATCTAATCAAGGAGTCCACATATATCTAAGAAGAGGAGGATAGGAGAATTTTCATACCAAGTTCGGTTATTCTAGCTCTTATATTTCCCGATATCCTTGCGTTCATACAGACAGACGGATAGATGGACGATCTGTATCGATTCGTCTTGTCATAGAAATCATGAAGATAAGCCTAACCCTCGCTTAACAAGGGGGTTGCGTTCCTAGAACAGAGAAATCGTGTTAAACGAGACAAAATTGAGTTAAAGCAATGCGCTTCTTTTTTTTTAATACTTTTAAACTTCTATCGTGTTAAAAGGGAAAAGATAGCAAATTTTTAATCGTCTTAAACCGAGTGCGTATTAAAATAGATCCTGTTAAGCAAGAGCTAAGAACGTCCTTCTATGTGTTACATGTACACTCGCAAAAAACTAGTACCATTACCATTTGTACCTAAATGGGCATCATATTTTGTTTACTTCTTATCACAAAGGAACCTAATCAAAGGACCTCTAGACTTTTTCTGTAGTGGGCGGAAAAACAATACATATATATGCCGGCGGTATATATAAATTTCTTCGACAATTTCTAGAACATGAAGGTCACCTATCTGTAGAATAGAATAAAATGCCTAATTATTATATAGCAACAAGAGTTTCTATACTCAAACTAAATTCAAATATTGTTTTTTTTTTCCAGGCCGCATCATGGGCACAGATGAGAAAATCGAAGAAGACTTTTTGGATAATGCATCTTTTAATGGTGAATATATAACTGGAGAAAGGAAATTGGATTGGGAAGTTATGCGCGTAAGCTCAGTTTTCTGCCAGTCCGATTCTTTAATGTAATGTCACAAGATCTTTAGATTAAATGCAGCAATCTTGGATTGGAGAAATATTATAAGCGATATGATGAAAGAGTGATGGTATCAAATCTGGCCCTCTTTCAGTTCATTGTTGTGTCAATAATTTCTTTTCATATTGTATGTCTCTTATTAGGCGCTGTGGTAAGTGAATTGCGTAAATGAATTGGTTGAATAAGATAGTTATATCAACATATCCATATGCTGCGCAGGAACACAGTTTATCACTTATTCTGTATGCAGCTGCTTTATTTCTGGTGCCGGTAGCCCTCTTTATTAATTTCAAAGATACCAAGAAAGATAAGCGCATGCCACGGTGGCGCGTTATTTCAAGCTGGGTGGCTGCTCTGATACTGACATTTATGGGTATATCTTGACCCCAAAGTACCACTATGTTAGGATTTTGTGATAGATGTGAAAGGTAATGAAGACTCACTAAAATATAACCATTAAATAAATATATAGATATATAGTGCCTGACGCATAATCTTATCATAGTGGTACCTTTCTTCCAAGGGTGGTATAACATCTGTCTTCAATATCTATAGAAGGTGAATAGAACGAAAAAATAATAAATATTTTACAAGAGAGACTGTTCATTGTCCGAATCAAAATCACCTTCTAGTTGGTAATCGATCAGATGTTATCACACTCTTTTCTTTTAAGTACATTCCTCTCTAATCACACTATTTCCAGACATCGGTGTGGGTCTTTGGATATCTGATTATACCGGCATTGTGATTCCTTGTTACGATCACATTGTAGTAATATCGATATATCTTTTTCTACCCGTTCGCATCGTTAGCCGTTCAATTATCTTGGGCTTAGCTGTATCGTTACTTTACTTCGTTCACCTGATTTATGTTTATTGGAAAGCACAACGTTTACAATTGACGCACCTATTAGGTTATGCAATCTATCTCCTGTCGCTGAACCTTCTATCGACAATTTTCCCCCTTCTGCGCGAGTTCTATATGCGCCAAGTACTGTTGGGGCGCCGAAAACTCCTGCAAGAAAAATTTTTGCTATCAGCAGCAATGGAAAATGAGACAGCCCTAATAAATACGATACTGCCTCAACTAATTGCCGATACGCTGAAGGAAGATATCAGAAAGCGTATAGAGAAGAGAGGACGACGCAGCTCGTTGTGGCCTGTCCGTCGGACGCTATTTGTAGAGCCCCATTCAAATGTCTCCATCCTATCCGCTGACATCATGAATTACACTGCGCTTACCACCACTATGGAAGTTAAGGAATTGGTTATTTTCCTGCATGATCTTTTTGTCAGGTTCGATGTGGCTGCTGAGAAGAACGAGGTACAGCGCATTAAGTTTCTGGGCGATCGGTACACCTGCGTGGCCAGCATCCCAAAACCGAACCCGGCACATGCCAAATGCTGTGTGGACTTGGGCCTGGAGATGATCAGCATTGTCAGCGCTATAAGCGAGCGACGACAACTCATTATTGACATGCGCATCGGTGTGAACTCGGGGGAAATTGTTGCCGGGGTTATCGGCTCCATTAAATGGCAATATGATATTTGGTCACCAGATGTGGATATTGCCTATCGCTTGTCCGAGACGGGGAGAATCGGCAAAGTGCATGTTACAGAACGCACGTTAATGTTACTCGAAAATGAATACCTTTATAGCGAAGGCACTGAGCGAGCCAAGCAGGATCCGGTTTTCGTTCGGGACCTCATCAAAACATATTTGGTATCGAAAATGCGAGACTCTGTGCTAGACATACAAATAGAGGAATATGCCAGGCGTGACATTAAAGGGCCTTTGGCCAAATTGAGCGCAGGTACCATTCCTTTGAAAACAGACCTAGATATGTACAATGAGATACGCTTCAAGACAAAATCTAGTATGATTGAAGAAGTCGAAAACATGGCGTCGGGTCACGCAGGGTAAGCTAAAAAAAAGTGACGATATATACTATAGTGACGACATAAACAATTTTCAGATTTGCTCGTATATTTGACTTCTCGAAGAACTCCAAAAGTTCCGCCGAGGACAACCTCTTCAAATCGCGGGTTACCGCCGTTTTTTTGTTGTTTCGAAATGGAGAAGAAGAATGGAAGTTCATTAACGTACCGGATGTGCTTATGAAATACACGTGTTTCGCGGCAGTTGTTGCTGGCCTAATGATATTCCTTAAAATTGCAACCCAAGACTAGTAAGTAGTTGTATATAATTATAATTCCCGGTTATTTCTGTTCCCTGTACCCGAACGATAAAACAGCTATGGAGTTATCAAATTAGTCTGTTTTATACGCAGAGTATTACAAGTCATAAAAAGCCGTAATATTTTAAAAAGCTCCCATCGTTCTTAACGATAACTTATTTGATTATGAAGATATTTCAATTTTTATTCTCATGAGATTTTTGTAGTCTCTCAACAAAAAATAAATAAAATAAAATATCTACTATAGAAAAGATTAGTACAACAGATTTAGTATGCATAGTTGAATTGCTATAGAAACGGTACAGGGTATTCATGAGTCGGCTTGGACGACTTTAATATATATATTATACTCGTTTGTATATTGTGCCCTACACTGCATAGTCCAATGGTGCTACACCTAATTCTGTTTTTACACGGTTCTGATTTAACACGGTTTGAAGATTAAAAATTGTATATTTGGTGCACAATTTTATTCCATTTAACACGATTAAAAATGACATGATCAATGTCCTTTTTACACGGGTTTTTTACGCGACTTTTTCTGAAACCAATCTACCGTGTAAAAACAGAATTAGGTGTATATTGAGTTTGGGGTGATTGCTTATAACACCCAGAAGGATGAATGGTAACCACTTGTTATACCTAGCATACCCATAGTTTTTTTTTTTTTGACTCAGATCATTCTGAGCGATATAATTTAAAAATAGTGTTTGTTTCAAAAAATTGTTTAAAGCTATGGGAACCAATTGCACCTCTGATGGTTTTTGTAAGAAGGGTAAAAAATTCTTTCAAATGAATGGTTAGATAATAGTGGAACATTAGGACGACACAGTGAAGTGCACATATATAGCTTCGGTTCAGACGAAGATAACTTTTCAGCTCGCTTTTCAATTAATTCCTAGCACTAGGATAAAGCACACGAAGCAGTTATTATTAATGCTTGTCGTGTTGTTTATTATATTCGTGTGCGCTTTCTTTAAGAAATTCTGGACAATGTGTAGTCGAGTAGCTTTGTGGGATCTCCCAACATTTTTCCTGTGGCGCTGGCTTTATTTCGTATCTGACTTTATAGAACAGAAGCTAGTAGTTCGCCTGTTTCTGTGTTTTTTAATTTCAATGATTCTCTACTTAATGGCTACGAAACAAGTGGTAAGATACCCAGCTTTTTTCAAGTCTTATTAAAAGGTTAATGATTGCCATTCTTTTCAGATGGACTGTCGGTATAAAGCTTTCGAACTGGAACTGATTGAAGCTGCGCTTAGCAATACCATCCCAAAAGACATTTGCTTCCGACCCTGGGTATTTTCAGTTTTTCAATTCCCTTTTAGCCGAATAATGGAAGTCAAATAATTTGCAGGCCATCACCCATAATATCATCCTCGTAATTTTGATAACGTTCTGCTTCTTTAGCATGCCTCTGATCTTCAAACTTGCAGTCGGTCTCATACTCATAGGTGCGTACATCATCACAATAAATGTAACATATGACTTTGCCTATGAGCGTTCCGAGACGACGAATTGGTTCTTTCGTGCCGAGGCTGGACACACATGGTATGTGGTATCGATCTATCTACTGCTGATCCTGAAAATGCGGTACAACACATTTGCCAAGAAGTTTAATTACTAGTAAGGGTCGTGTCGATAGTATAGTCGCTCTAGTCGTTCGTTAATTTTACGTTATTTTTATTAGCATGCAATTGCGCTTTGAAGATGAGCAGAAAAGAACGGAAAACACAAACAAATCTATCAGAGTACTAATGGCCAACATCCTGCCCCTGCATGTGTGGGATATGTTTTTGGAGAAGCGGCGCAAGAACGAGTTTTTCTACGAACAAATAGATAAGGTTGCCGTTATGTTCGCTCAGATTGTCAGCGTTGATGTCGACCGGCTGGGACTGCGAGTCCTGAACGAGTTCATCTGCTACTTTGATGATCTTCTAGACCAGTTCCAGAGTAGATTCAAAATAGAGAAGATAAAAGTGGTCGGTTGGACTTATATGGCCGCCTGTGGTCTGGAGGTGGATCGAATTTCTGACCGTTCAAACACAACAATTGATGATGATGATGAAGATGATAACAGAAGTACCTTATGATTTCTTTACTCGCACCCGTTTCTTTCTTATTCTATTTTTTAGTTATCTCTCTCTCTCTCTCTCTCTCTCTCTCTCTCTCTCTCTCTCTCTCTCTCTCTCTCTCTCCAATCTCAATATAATGTATTATCATCTTTTAACGTTTGCAGGTAGTGTTCGTTTTGATATGGTTTTAGATAAAACAACTGATGATTGGTTCTCCGATCAAAGATCGTTAAAGCCACGGCAACATAAGTTTCTAAGACCGAACGACGAGTGCGTTCTCGTTCTGACTAAGTTCGCATTGGAACTGTTGCGGGGATCTCGAGAACTTTCAGCCAAGAATATGTTTTTAGAAAATGACAGAAATATTGGAGGATCGTTGAAAATCGGTGCGTTTTTCTACATCTTTCTTTCGCATTCACTAACCCGCTCAGTCGCTGTTTCACACAGGCATCTCCCACGGACCTGTCTCCGCTGGAGTGGTAGGCATTTCGAAACCGCACTATGATCTGTGGGGACATCCAGTTAACCTTGCCTCCGAAATGAGTAACACCGGTGTCTTAGATGCCATCCATGTGAGTGAGCGAACCGCAGTGGTTTTACGGCGCTATGACATCAGATGTGATTATCGCGGACAGACATCTTGTAAGAGTCTAGGCGAACTACCCACTTATTTGGTAGCAGTCGATGAAACCATGAACTTCATGCCTAACGTAGATGAGGACTTATATCCTGGTCAGTATATGGATGATAACGAGGATATGGAAATAGTTGACCGCTTGTCCGTCGACTCCAGGGACTCTTTGTTTTTGTCACCCACGGATTATATTTTGCACGCACAGAGCAGCGAGCCCGGACTGACGCTGCCATATTTAGAGGAAGAGGAAATTGGAGAAGAGGAGGACTTCGTTCAAACCTTAATCCCAAAAAGTGATTCCATTTATTCAACCAGTGGGTTGATTGTGAAAAGCTCGTTAATCAGTAAAAAATCACGACTCACATTATTCAATCAAAAGAAGGATAAAAGGAAACTTCGAGTGGATGAATCCCGTACCGTTACACAAATTTTGAGTGATGACGAGTCGGTACTAGATGACAATAACGAAGAGGATGTCGAGGAGGAACAGGTACGCGAAAAAGAGTCGGAAGAAATTAGCGAAGACCGAAATCGATTGCAAGGTGGTGCACCATATTTTTACATTGAAGATATTGATGAGGCCGAATCAGATGCTTAATAGCTGGGTACGTCCGGTTCATTATAAAAACTGGCTTTAAATAAAGGAGTAACAAAGTAGGAACCTTTAGCAACCAACTTTATTTAATTATATATTTTGATGTTTTTAATAATACGTCAATGGATCATTCGAAATCGGTTAACTATCATATAGCTGCTACAGAAACGATTGCTACAACAAAGTTCATTTTAGTTAAAAGGCTGAGACGACAAGAAGAGCGAGTAAGAAGTATACAATAATTTTTTGTGGTTTTTATCGATCGTAAAGGTATCCCCCCCTTCATACTCGTATGAAAATGTTTCGTAGTTATGGTTTAACATCATTTAGATGGTTTTTATTAGATAGTTTATATAACACATACGTACATATATGCTGCACACATTCCTAAACGCGGCCAGATATTTGGTTTATGTATATAATAATTGCTGTTACGTATTATAAATATATGTAATATTTAAAGCAATACAAGTAAAACATGCATGTCAACAATACAAATAGCATAAGTTAAACATTTTGTCATAGAAAACATTTTGAGAAAAAAGCACCACTCGGGTTTTTGTGCACAGTTTTGAACTAAAATTTCAAATATTAACAGCTGCTCGAGCCTGGTTGAGGGGACTCTCTTACTCTCTCTCTCTCTCTCTCTCTCTCTATCTCTCCTATCTTTTTCGCTCTCTTGCTGAAATGCCGTTGCTTCATTTTCCACTCAGAGCCGCCTACTGGTTGCTCGTGGACAGCAGGGCAGTATCCTCGGGCAAGGGTTTGCGTTTGTACGATGGCTCCGTGGCCAGGTAGACAACCAAGCAGCCAAAGATAACGTAAAGTACTCCGATGATGTTGGTCAGCACGCCGGAAGAGGGCAACTCGGAATAATTTGGACTGAAAGGGATAAAATGCCATTAAAAGGGGATGGCTATACCAATGCCTTTGATGCACTTACATGGCAAAGACGGCCTTCTCGGTGAGACCCATTAAAGCACTAGCAATAGCCAAGACGAAGCCAAACAATCCAAAGTAAATGTGGAGTGGCATTAACGCAATCTTGTAGTTCTCCTTCATGCCCGGCACCAAAAAGGCCATAAACCCGGCCACATACTGCAAACAGAAGATCAGCACAGCGGACAAGCCCAGCCACGAGTGCAGCGAATACATATTCGGTATCGGGGGATTGGCCAAGTTATGCGAATCGAAGACCGTCTTCAGCGCAATGACTGTCAAAATGAAGGCAGCCATGTGAATGCTGGCGTGGGTGAGCTTCAATGTCTTCTTGTTGGTTGTGCGAAAACCACGATAGATGAGTATGGCTAAATATAGTATCGTATAAAGAAGTTAATGTACAGATTAGTGGGCGTTATTAGGTTGCACCTTTTCCGCTGAACACCTCCCAAACTTACAGTTGCCATAGAGGAAGATGAAGCCAATGGTCATAAACAGCGGATGCCAGTTGAACTCCTGTTTTGGATTATCTGTGCCAGCTAAGCCACCGAAATGCTCTCCAATCCATGTGCCCACCAGCACGATCATGGTGAGGCCGCACAGCTGCGTCACCACATAAAGCACCTTAAAGTTAATCAGTGATGGATCCATATTGGTTTTGTCTAAGTGGAGAAATGGAAATTCGAAATAGTTTTCATTAATCATAAAACTACGTATGTATGTACAAGTATGCATGTATGTATGTCTATATATATCCAAACACGTGTGCTCTTTTCTAGCGCCAGCTGCCCAAATCTTATTTCATATTACGCATACGCTTCGTATGCCGCACATTCCAATGCTCGTATTAGAGGTGGGCATGAATGATGTTTTTAATCGATTATTTGACTAGAAAAAAAACATAAAATGCTGACTGGGTACGTACCAAGTAGTAGTCAATAGACCTCGATGCTTGTAAAAACAATATACATTTAGCAAATGTCAAAGCCCTCTAAAAAACAGTTTTGTTCTCTACACAAGCTATTATGTTTTTATCTATCGTGTAAGCAAAATGCTTGGTTACAGTTGAATATTCAAGCTTTTAGGCAGTTAATCAGAATTTTTGAAGAGCCTAGAGATTTATTAGTTTCTCAAAACAAATTTATGATCTCAAAAATATCAGTGAAATCGGAAATTTTCATAAAATGGATATTTTGAGACAACTGTATGCAACCAAACATTAATAAATCACAATTACAGATGCTTTCTATTGATATTTTTTAAAGTGGTCCAATCACTTTATTCATTTTTAAAATCGATTTGGTTATGCTCAATTATATTTTAACAATATAAAACATTGTAGAACTATAACGATCATTCTAAACCTTGTTAATTAATTATGATGTAGGCAAGTTTATTATTAAAACAAATTTCATTAATTGTCAATGGTTTATATTCGTATAAATGTGTCTTTAAGTAAGCTGTTTAGTGACTTTCTCATATCGAGTCAAAACATTAGAAAAGCGGGCCCATGCCCACCTCTAGTTCACAAACAAATATCGTAAGCATTAATAAGCTCGAAATCTTAATAGCATCTGCGGCATTAAAAGCTTAACTTCACATTAATTGTCGGCCCCTGACGATTGCGTCTCGCGCTGGGCCCGACGGCTGTCCATCATTGGATCTGACGTTTGTGCATTTTCAACATTGTTTCTGAATGATTTCATATCTGAGTATCAGCGATCGCAGCGTTTAACTCAATTAAAATTACATTCCAGCGATCACGACACATGAACTCTTGTCGTGGCTGAGTCGTCGCTACAAATTGCTGCTCTTTCCAGCAATCGTACGTTGTTTATTTATGCATCTCAATGGCTCAATGGAAACTGCAGCCCAGCTACTCGTAAGACAGTCGCCACAATTCGAAACCCGGCGAAAAACGATGCTCATTCACCATAAAGTGTATTTAATTACAAACAATAATCATAATGAGCACCCGTTGTGTTCAGATTACGTTCCAAGCGCTTTTCAGCAGCAGAAATTTGTAGAAATAAAATATGTAAGATTACTTCTATCATGATCATAAAATAGTGCGTGGGGAAAGGGAGGGGGAGCGGTCGGTATTACGAGCATGATAATGATCGCCCAAAAACAAAAAAAAAAAAACAAAAAATGAAACTGCCACGAATTCTTTCTTGTTGTCTCCCTTCTCAATCGTATACAGTCTATACTATATATTCTGAAATATTGGACAAAGATAATATGAGTCGCCCCTTATCGCATTGCTTGTAAACAATTTTTTCCCGCTTGTCTGTGGGCGCACAATAAAAAGAGAATACAAATTCGCCTTAAACGGCAGTTTCAATCTTTGTGTGATTACATTTTTATTTGCAACTGTTATTGCAGAAATTGCCAAAGAAATTAAAAATAGCTGACTAACATCAGGCGCAGCAGTTCTTTGATAAATGATCGAACGGATGACAAACTTCCACCGACAACGCAGATTGAATTTACATACTATAGATGATGAAAAGGAAACAAGTACATCGTACGTTACAGATTTTCGAGAAACATTCGGATGCCCTTTGGCGGAAGAATTATGCAATTGAACAGTCTTCTGAGCATTTAACCAAACGGATTAGCTTTCCTTTTGTAAATACAAAGCTAATGATAGAATTATTTTACAATTGGGTCTATTGTTCGTTTTTTTTTTTGTGACTTTATTTAACTAATGTCGAAAAACATAAATTAATCACAAAATATATTTCGACTTAACTCCCATTTCTGGGTACCAAATTTTCCAAATTTTTAAAAAAAAAATTTAAATACCCTAGAATGATTTTCTCTAAAAATGCACTGTTTTTTTTTATTCCAGAAATATTCATATTCACGTACATAGCTAAAGTTCAGGTGAGTTCAAAACAAAATTTTATATATATACGTCGTAAATGATAAAAAAAATGATTATTGAATTTTGCTTATGGGGTTACTTTTATGAATGATATGTGTTTTCGTTCCCATTTGTGTAATAAAACAAACACGGTTCGGAATATTTAATATCTAATTTGAAAAGTGAACTGGCAATTGCACAAATCGCAAACAAAGCCACACCCCTTCATATGAGTACAGCAGGTATTTCCATGTGTATGTAGAGGGCTTGGCATGAATGATCACTTGCAGTATTGGAACGTATTTAAAACCTGAGTAGATAAGTGCAATAAATATGCGAAAACACAACTTGATTTTTTTCAATAACTACGCTTTATTCGAATATTCGACTAAGGTTTTGGTCGGTTCTACAGTTCTGTTCAATTCCTACCAATGTCAAAAGCATTTGTTTTAACTAAAAAGAATACTTTCATCTCCGAATGCCATTATTAAGTGCTTCTAAGTTATTCTTAACTCAAGAAAGGGATGTATTCTTTTAATATATTTACTGAATATATTTATTTCCCTTCCACCAAATTTTCCAATACCAAAAGATTGATATTAAACATTTTTAAAAAGTACTGCTTTTCCGCGGAATAAACGTAAATATTCTACCAGTACAATTTTACTTTCAATTTTCAAGTTATTGGGCGAAAATGTATAAGGGCACTTTTAAGTACTCTAAGGTTTGTGAAAAGTGTATAAACAAGCAGAATAATAAATAATGTACATTATTAATCTGTACGAACAATCGATCCAGACTTGTTTGTTCATCCGTCCGTTCGTTCAGTTGGGTAAAGGTCTCGTAATCTCTAGGCAACACTAGTTTGCTCCACTTTTTCTGATTTAACGCTTTTTCCCTATTCCCCCCAACAGATTTCAGTTAAGCTAAGCGAACTACATTTTGTAGCATGTATTTAAATGGGTTGAATCTAAGAAAAGTTAGGAAACCACTTTACACAATTCCCCTAAACTGTTGTTTTTTAAGTGCTTTTTGGTGCAGAATATTTCACTTTCGGGCCTGCTTGTAAAAATTGTATATATTTGTTTACATAATATTTACTGTGTATTACGGTCATAGCCATATATAAACTGTTATAGGTAGAATCGGCTTCTAAATGTCGTTTCTTCTTGTTTACTTTCGAGCCAATAAAAATAGTTGTACACGCAATTGTAGTGAAATTTTAATACTTTCCAAACGAACTAGACCGCACACCTCTTAGGTCTGTATCAGTTTTAAGACGCGACTGAATTTATAATTTAGTTCTCGCACACCTTCACCTTAAATGAACATTTTCGTGTCAATGGCTTGGCAAAAAAAAACGAAATAAAACCTTGGTATATGCCATATGGAGAGTTCTTGCGCTGCAATTAGGGCTCAACAGCATTCTAGATAAGAAGACGGCAGCCTGGAAATATAAACCCTCCACACATGCACATATCTAAACACAATTTATCAGTTAACATGTCTATGTCTCTCTTCTTTTTTCTTTTTTTTTGGCATGTCAACGATATTTTAATTGAAGCAAACTGCAAATAGTGCCAAGAAATTTGCTTAATTAAAATGCGGAACGGAGTGATTGTACTTAAATGCAAATGTCAATTGTTCTTGTTGCTGTTGTTGTTATTGTTGTTGTCATTATTATTATTGTTGTTGCCCCTCCCGTTCCCCTTTCTTTTGGCCACGTTTTTGTCCACGCTTCGCTCGAACGCCAAAGTTACTTAACATTTGATAGGCAGTTTTTTTTTAGTTCGACAGTGAAAATTGTTTGTAGTTGGCATATTAATTATGATGGGGTACATAGTTTATAAATAAAATGTGCATTTTCATTAACACAGTTAAGTAGGTGTGTAATTTTCTATGGGCCAGTAAAGTTGTTGTTGACTAGCAAAGCGTTGCAACTGATCGTGCGCAAAATTTGAAGTGCAAATCTACATAAAAGTAAAATTTATGTTTTGTTTTTTTTTTTCTTTTTTGAAGCTGCGACACGACTTCTTCGAAAGAGCGTAAAAAGCGTAAATGCAGCAAAACTAAAGCCAACAAGCCAAAAAGTAAAAAGGAAAACAAAAGCAGAAACAGAAACAGAAACAAACATACAATTACATGTACAGTTCTCTTTTGCTATGGAGAAACATAATTACGAATAATTAAATGATAGAAGAGGAGTTTTTACTTTTCTGAAAACGTAATCTCTCAATATGGTAAGTTAACTTAACCTAAATAGTTAAGTAGCTGAAACTTTAACGCATCACTCTCTTGTCTACGCAGAGTTTGTCAGTCACAGAAGATTGTTTCAGAGCGGGAATAAAAAAGTAGTGAATAAATTTTCTTTTAGGCAGCCTCTTACAATAGTCACTAACATAATAGTGCAACATAAAAGAATACTATATAGTACTTAATTTTTGTTGACATAATTGAATTCAATCATAAGTAGTTTTTATTCAACATCCTTGTGATGCATTTGCTTAAAAATGTGTTCATGTATTGTGAAAAATAATCGACTTAAAGTTTAAAGGCGTGCTATTCCGACTATTTACTATCCTGTATCCACCCTATTACCTACAGCCCTTCAGAAAAAATTTGAATCAGCAGTCATCATACACATACATACGAGTGGCGCTATTATTATTTTATGTACATTTCTTGCTATAGCTTTCTGGTATTTCCTTTCAACCTTCGTGGCAGGGTATACAAATATATTCGGCTAGTCCAAATGTCTCTGAGCAATCATTTAATCAATTAATTTGTGACTAATTCTGTTACCAATAGACATATTGCCTCTCATTCCTATTCAAATTGTCTTTGAATTTCGATTCATAAAGCCAAGAATAAGATTTTAGCAGAAATATCTTCCAAGACAAAAAGTTTATTATCGCAAAACATAACATCATTTTTATGTTGTTACTAAATTGTTATCAATGTGGAAATATATTTTAATATTAAGGCACACTTTATTATCTATGTAGCAAATATTTGATGACAATATTTACTTGAAAGATAGATAGTTTGTAGGGCACCATGTTGATACACTTTTGGTATCTTATATTTGCTTTGAAAAAATATACATAGTTTCTAATACATATTGCGAGAATTAAGGAGGAAATATACGTGTATAATATAGATTTCGAACATAACACTTTTTGACAGATATGAGTGGTATTTCAGCAATTGATTTAGACCTGTAACATCTTAAGTCGAATAGCTTATCACAATTTGTAAATAATAATCAAACATTCGTGAGTCTACATTTAAAAATTGTAATATAGATTAATCTGTAGAAAATTTACGTCATTTGAATACCATATTTATAAATTATTTATTTTATTTTTATACTTGATCACTACTCAATGAATTAAAATGAGTTTTTCCAACTAACATTCTTCTCAAAAAATAAATGAAAACACTAGCCCATACTTATTTAATTCTTTATACATACATCTGAAATTGGAAAAAAAAAATTTAATTGTTTTTTCTGTGATAATTTGGCCAAACAATTTGATATTAATGCCACATTCCTAAACAACGTCTCAGCCAGTTAGAAATCATTCCATAAACATTTGAACGAATTTTCAATAGATTTTTAAAAATCATGCCCTAATCAAGGTAATACCTTTTTGTGAAAGGCCACGAACGTCACTTTCGGATTTTTTGGTTGGTTTGGCACAAATAATAAGTTCAAGATACTTGAGATCGCAAAATTGACTGATAAGTAATGAAATGCAAAAAAAGCTTATATCTGCCTGCAATACATGTCGGTACAGGTGGTTTAGGAACTATTCTGCTTTTAGCTCCTGTTTACTGAATGGTACAGTTTTTCAGTACATCAAATGGCTCTTCATACCGACAATGCACTGTAGGTGTAGACACATAAAAATGTTAAAAACTAAAGTGAAATTATTTGTATGTTGGTGCAGACGATGGATGCTTTGACGATTGCATTCGCTTGAGCTTGCCTTGTCTGCCTCTTTCATCTGTCTGTTTGTCTATCTGTCCATCCGCTTGTCTGGTTGTCTCTCTATGTACATTCGTCTGTCTTATGTGCGTTTTGTTATAACTTTTACTTGCAACTAAAATGTGCACACACGAATACTTATGAATACTTTATGTGTATGGCGGCCAACTTGTTGATTTTGCTTTGCACATGAAATCAAAGTTAAAGCCAAAGCCAAAGCCATTCACTCCATAGTTAATGGCAATGTTGTTATTGCTGTTGTTGTACCTTTATTAGTGGCCGCACTTGCATTGGTTGTCTGCACTTGTTCTGCAATGGCTGTTGTTGTTGTTGTTGCAGCTGGAGTTTTGGTAGTGGATTGCTTAGGCTCTGTCGCCGTGCCATTATTTTCGCCATTTGTAGCTGCAGCCGCTAAGGTTGGCGCCACAGTCATGATCGTGGTCTTTACTTCCACCACAGCGGGCTCCGCCTTGGCATCGGAGCTTGCCGCCACAGCCTGCTGCTCAACATCCAAATTGCTCGACATTTTAGCCTAACTAAAGCACTTTGTTATTAATTTCTATTACTTTCTTTGAAACACACTGTGGCCACTTGGTCTGTGCTTTATGACCAGAAATCAATATGCAGAGAGTGTTAAATGCGCCTGTGATTCGTATTACAAGCGTTAATTACATGCAACAGTAACAGTAATAGTAACAAAAACGCATGCTAATTACGCGACAACAACAACACACGCACACTCCACTCGAATAGTTCCGAAAGCGCGAATATGTGTTCCACACTCTTTAACGTGCAATGCGCAACTGAGTTTAAAATTTTTACTGTCAGCTCTGGGCGGCCCCCAACAGTTGTTTACCGCTTCGCGCGGTAGAAAAAAAGCTTTCGGAGCACAAAATTATCGCATGAGATTTCACCACAAAGTTTGTTTTCAGTTGGTCCATGTCTATAACGATATAGATCTAACTATACCCATATATACCCAATACTTTGAATGATCGACCATTTAAAACATATACATACATTCTCTTTGAACTAATTTGATAAAATATACGTACTTACGAGTATTGGAACTGCGAGTTTTTGATGCACTTCGCATACCTATTTGTTTCGATACGCACCTAATGCACATTGGCATGCAAGATACGTCCTATGTGTTGAATTTCTTACCCTACACCCAAACCTGGGGAGGGTACATTAATTTTTTTATAATTTCTGCACAATATTCCATGAATTTTTTTGTTCCTTCTGTACAATCCCCTCGACGTGGGCTAGAGCTAGAGCTGCCAAACCATTCCAAAACATTCCACATATGAATATATGTTAAGGAATATCTAGTTCTCTTCCTCTACATGCGCACTTTCAAGGGAGTAGATGGATAACTAGAAGTTAAAGCCGACTTCATATTTTATGAAACATAATCAAAACCAAATTTCCGCGAAGCGTGTAAATTAAGTTTAAATATGTTCAAAAAGTCCAGAAGGCTTCACTTAAAAACTAGTATGTATAGCCTTTTACCCTTTGTGTACAGCCTATAAATATATAGGAATCTCTCTCGCTTTAAAGTTAGAAAAAGGTCAAAATCCTAGTTTTACGCGAAACTGACGCAACACCCCAACAAATTTTGTTAAAAAAGTTTGTTTTTATTGAACAAAAAAAAAAAAAATGGTTTATACCATTTTTAATGTACATGTGCCGCTTTTATTATTCTTATCTGCATAACCCTTAACGGACGCATACTGGCCCGGGACAGATTCGTGGGTTCGAAAAACATGTTTATCATCTGGTAGATAATAATTTCTTGCGATTTTGTTACAATATATTTGAAGAATTATTTTTTAACTCTCATGGACAACTACATCTTATAGACGTTTCTTAAGTACATACTATGTGCAGTAAGTCACACCTTTTTAATTTTCAAAGATTCTATCTTAAAAATTTAATGCAATTGTAGAATTTACATAGTATTTAAAAACACGGAGTATTACATATGCTCGATATGGAAAAAATAATAAGAACACAATTCTGTCTATTCCAAATGTTAGTGATATTAATGCAATATGTTTGATCAAATAATGTAGCCAGCTGCGCAAAAAAAGATTATACTCATAGAATATCCCATAGGCGAGCATCGGCACTGGTTTTGGTGCGGGTTCATGGGAATAGGAGAGGGAGATATACATATGTACAAAAGTATGTATGTATGTCTCTCTGCGGTGTCAGGCACTGGCCGGGTCGCTAACACACCCACACAGAAGGCAAGTTAAAGGTTTTGTTTTTCGTATTGTTTCGCATTCCTTTGCCTTAATGAGCGCCCGAGTCGTCTTTATTCTAGCTCTGAGCTGCATTTCAATTAAAAGCTCTAACCACATTGTATATGCACAACAATAATTCACTTGCATTTTGCGCAATTGCTGCCAAACGATTTAATAAATTCACAACAACACCTTATTAACTTACACAGTGAGCGCAACATGGCGTATGCTTGATGCCGTTCTTCGTATTTAAGTCAGAGCTGTATTTGTTTTTTCTGAATGATTAAGCGGCTTATCAGTCGCAACAAACAAAGAGCAATGGGAAATAAATGTCTATATGCTTTAAGATAACTTTTGTTTTCAATTTCACTGTCGACGTCACTTGTTGAGGTTAATACGTCTTTGTACGTTGCAGGATGTACAGGATATGATGAAAGCTGTTGCTGCTGTAGCCGTGCTGGAGGCTGCTGTCGTCAACAGATGAAAAAGAACGAGAACATCAACGAAATTGTCGACATATGGCAGTGAAAATGTCTGCAAAGGCAGTTTAATAGAGTGGGGCGGGGTGGGGTTATTAAACACTCAGCTAGGGAGCTGCACACAAAAGTGAGCTTTTTAAGCTTCAAAGCACCTAACACAGTCAGCAGCTGTTGGAGCCAACATGTATACACACACACACACACACACACACACTTGAGCCACTTGTTGGATACTAGATATTCAGCGCATAAATACATACAAACCAAACTATAACGTGGACTAAGTAAAAAGCAACTACAATTCATCATTTATTTGTTCAAAAAACTCACCAACTTCTCACAATGCAATAGAATAAATAAAATTTAGCAATTTTCGTTGCTTTAAAATACAACAATCAGAGCACCAAGCGAAATTTTCGGCAACTCGCGTTCACAACAAACCACAACAGACGAGTGAAAGAAGAAGCAGACAACTCATCGACGTCGACAGTAAGAATAAGATCATTAAAGAGAGCAGCGACAAAAACAAAACTCACACCAGCAACAGTTCAAGGTTGTACTTTCTTTGCATTTTCAGCCTTTGTTGCTTTTGGGTCGGGTGACAAATTAATAACACGCATAATTACAAACGCACCCCCATGTATACATAATACATACATATGTATATATATTTACAAAATACATTAGTCCAGTCGATTGTGAAAACGGCGGCAGTATTAAATATCAACTACAACCATGGTCAAAAGAGAGAAGGTATGGCTTTAAAAGCTGTAACCTTTTGCTCTCGCTGCGCAAGTACGTCATAATGCATTTGAGGTAGCCACGTACGATTTCAAAACTTTAAATCCAACATCTGTCTAATTTTGCAACTATTTTACTTAAAACTTCGAGTAAATAAATAACTTTACCAATTGTACACTCTGCTTACATCAAGTACAGGTCTCCGCCCATTCATACATTTTAGTTTCTTTGTACCATGAACAAAACTACTCCTGCGATTTGGCGCTCAATGATTTTCTCGCAGCGTTGCCAGATAAAACATTTTAGAGTGCGCATAACTGCGATTAAATTAGATAACACCATGTAAGATATAAATATTAATACGATTTTTGGAATTTTTGTTTTAAATTTTTTTAAATTATTAAGTTGAAATTTTTCTGCAAGGTGGCCACACAGAAAAATGTTGAGCACCTCACGGGCTCTGGCAACACTACAAATATAACCAAACAAAAATCAGTTTAATTGTGTTTAAGCGCAAATAAATGCAACATATTACCGTCACAAAATGCTCTCCAATTTATTAATAACAAATCAAAAATTTGTGCTCATTATTGGTAACTATAAATATGCAAATGCATGAGTGGTTATTTAATTTACACATTTCAGATGAAACCAATCGCGAGCGCATTGCACAAAAGTTCATTGGTCAACTGCTGCACGAGCAGGGGCAGGAGGTGGGCAGCATTAAGACCTTGCCAATTGGCATGCAACTGCAGCACGTGGCCAGCTATGAAGCGCTTTTAAATGAAATTACAAACAACAATAATAATAACAACAATAGTAGCGTCGGTGCTGGCGGCAACAACAGCAGTAGTGAGGAATCATCGACTTTAAAAAATGGCTACAATATAATAATGCCTACTTTGGCCGATTTATTGTGCTATCAAACACCCGCATATATCTTTGAATTTCTCAACAAACTTCGTCGTGCGGAGCATGTGCGTCGCATCTTTCTCTGGGCATCACCACAACATCTCCAGTATGAGCATGCGGCCTACATTCTAGCATGCTGCGAATATTTGGCCGAATTAGTGCTTCATCTAGAGACGGAGACAACGCTGTCGCTTATATCCCGTAAGGTGGGCGGCGGTGTGAGCAACAGACGCTACGCATGCCAGATGACCAAAACACAATTTCAAGTGACCCCACTGGCGGTAACAGCAGATTCTCAAATTTCACCGCAGCCAGCGCACATGGATGAAGTGAAGCCCATCGATAGTGGTGGCGGAAGCACCTTCAAAATCGAGCTCGACGAGGATGAGGTGGTAGCCCGCAATGCGCTCACTATGCCATACGAGCGGTAAGATTAGCTATCTAAAAGAAAGTTCAGCTTATTAGAATTATCTATATTTGCAGCACCAGCGAGCCAGCCGAGGGAAACATTATTTACACGCCTGATGCAGCCGATGACTTCGACGAGGAGGATCCCGATGAGGATCTGTGCATCTAATGCGTCAATCCAAGGCGCAAACGCAAGTACAAAAATGGCATTGGCTTTAAAAACAGCGTTACCTAGAAAATTCCGCCCCAACAAATAACCACATACATAAACTTCATGTTGCAAGATTTCAAAAATTTATTACACTAGCAAAAATGTCGCAGTTTTAAATTGTGGCATTGTATGTACAAGAGACGAAAAAACGTTGTTGGTGCAACTTAAATGCTATATAACTTGTTGGCAATACTCCTGTTTAAAAAAAACATAAACAATAACTGTCGAATGGCGCTAGATCGTTACATTATATCACATTCTATAAGAAACAAGAAGAAGTAAGAATAAAAAGACATTTAAGTGCTTGATTAAGAGACCAAGTGAGCAAAAATGTGCATTGAGTGATTGAATTTAATTGGAGTATTAAAAAAGATATTTCTGATTCAAAATATCTTGTTAGAAACATACACCCACTCACGTACTATTTACAAACAACTAAATGTGAATAATTAACAAATGATTTTCAATGGTAACGTTTACAAAAAATGGCGGCACAATATTACAAAACGCAAGGAATAGGCAGACGAAAACAACAACAGCAACAACAGGTTCTGTTAGCTTTAACAACAAACTTCATCTCCGTTTTAGCAGCGCCTCAACATCGCTTTTTGGATCAGGCGCCATGGAACTCCATGCGGTGTCACTACATAGTGGTAGTTTCGATAGCGCTGCATTCGACAATTGTGTAGCTACCATGCTGATACCGCATGTCTCGCGTAGCTGAAAGAATTTCCCAACCAATTCATCAATCCAGTTCTGTAGACTTTCGGCAAATCGTCCAGCATTGGCTACTGCCTCTTGCTGCAATGCATCGCGTTCTTTGGCGCTGCTTAAATGCTGCAACCACTCTGTGGGCACTTCAAAGTCAGCGGGCAATGCCACACCCATGCCGCCATTCAGCTGGCGTGCCAGTTGCTCACTCGCCACAGGTACGCCCTTGTGATAGGCCAGTGGCGTGACCAGGAACTTCACCTGCGCATAAATGGATGTGCGTCCTATCAGCTTGGCAGTCCAGATACCCGGCGTCAGGGGTGCTTTCAACAATGTCTTTGAATGATTGATGACATCGCTTTGCGCCTCCTCGATATGCAGTTCGTTGAAGTCCTGCAAGCGACCCAACGGATCAACCCACAATAGCGTTAGGTTGTAGGAGTGTGAGGTGTCCTGGGAGGCCACTCCCAGATGCATATAGCTGAGCAACAGCTCGCTGTAAGGTCCCAGTAGTTTTGCAAAGTTACGCGCCACCTGCTCCTTCTGATCAAAATCAGTGGAGACCTCAAAGTTACGCAGCCGTTTACTAAACCGCGAATTCTTCGCCACCTTTCCAAACTGCACGGGCCGGACACGTGTTTCCAGTTTCAGCAACTGTGTGCTATTAGAGCGCCGAGCACTGTAGCGCACCAGAAATCCCTTGTACTGATCACGGTGCAAGTAGTGGGTAAGCTCGTGGAGCTGTAGCGACGATGTCAGCTGAAATTGCCGTGCGGCCAAACGCATTAAACTGTCGCCGAGAGTGCGCGCCAAATCGTCGTGCTTGCCATGCTCGTCCTCGCTGTGGTAAAGGGACTGCCAATACCCATGAAGATTCGCATATTCGCTGGTGTACGGTCCAAATAACCATTCCTCCAGTTGCAGCAGGACGGCCTGATTAATAATGGGCTCGAATTTACGAGCAAAGAAGAGCTGTTTCTGCTCAGTGCTCTGCAAACGCGCCCAATCCTCCGGTTTAAAGTCATTGGGACTACACCCGCACCAGTCCACCACATGCTTGTACTGACACTTGCAGCCCAGCTTGCGCTTCCAATTCGTCACATGCAGATTGTTATCCACATAGGTGTCACAATGGGGCGTATTTCGTAGCACAGTGTGAAAGAATGATTCGGCGGGGAGTAGCGTGTGACGGAATATAACTAGCAGTGCGTCCAACAGCTCTCGTTCCGCTCCTGCCGCCTCCGGGTGAGTCACGTAGGCGACAAAGGGACGCGACAAAGCTACCCAATCGCTGCCGCCATCCACTTGTATACCAGCGGGCAGCTTGCGGTCTCCAATACGCCACATGTGCGTATCGCATTCCACAAAAGTCTTGTCGAGTCCCTGCTTCTGAATGAAACGCTGAGTCTCGCGTCCATGGCTCTTCACAAAGTTCCGTCCCCGGTTTGCTGTAAGAAAATCTTCCAGCTTGTCCAGCGTCTTCACCGGGAAATCACTTTCACTCAAATTAATGACAAAGTCCCATTCCGCCGAGGACTTGAGCAGATCCTGCATACAGTGCAGCAACATTGTGAGCAATGAGGCGCCTCCCCAAATGGTTGAAAAGCGTGTACGTGCCAGTCGTATGTTTGGAAATTTCGGCTCCAGCTCCAACAATTTTCGATACAGATAATCCTGGCGCTGCAAGGTAAGTTTTTGGGGTGTTTATTTTAATTTTAAAATGGCAGTGTACATCAGTCATGTAATTTAAATGCCACATCAACTTAGTAGACGGCATCAAATAGCGCAATTAGCACAATATCGCGCATGGAACTCATTCGAGTATATGTTTTAATTATGAAATCAAACCCAAACATCACACAGTGGGTACTATTTGCTTTAAAGATAGTGAAAGATAAATGGAAATGTTGGGAACGAAAAACACTATAATTTGGCAACTAATTAATAATCAGCTACTATTTTTATATTTTTCAAACGCATTTCTTTAAAAATACTTTCTGAAAAATTATATCAAATTTGAAAACCTAACGAATCTATAACTAACAACATCGAGGTAACAAAATGAAGCATATTATTATACATTTAAATTGATTTTTTTACACCATCGCCGGTAAATATTGAGAAACTATTCCCTAACTGAAAAATTTGACCGACCACAACTCAATGGGTTTTCCCCAGAATACAATAAGTAACATGTTAGACGTTTCGCAGATATTTTTTACGATACATTTAGAGAATTCTCCACTGTGTGTCCCAATGTTGCCTCCCCTTTGACAAAACTTACCGCATCCACGTGTATGTAGTAGACGTGATTTGGCGCGTAGAGCGCTTTAATCAGTCGATGCACTTGACGAAGTGCCCGTCCATTTAACGTGAGCAGAAATGCAATGCGAACCCGTTCCACGTCCGGTGCTGCCGTGCTGGCTGCTACTTGAGCCGTGAATTCTGTAACGATGAAAAGTTAGTTAATTAGAATGATGTAATACTTTTGTAAAGCCTCCCCTCCCAATTTCACATTACTCACTGGCTATTCCAGTCTCGTACACGTTCATGGCGAAGTAGCCGCCACAGATTTCCTTGGCATTGGCCAAACACTTATTGTTGCAGCTAGAATCGGGCAACTTGGTGGCAGTGGGTGGTGCGTCGAAACCACAGAAGCACTCTCTCCCGTACTGGACACCTGCATAGGGGTAACCCGACTGCAGACAGAGCTCCACGCATCGGCTGGGCGAATTGTACGTTTTAAAGCTGACAAAATAGCCGCCCAGCAGGCGATGGTCCTTTTCATCGCGATAGCAACCTAGGGAGACGTTGGCCGTGTAGTTGCCAGCTGGACAACCACTTCGCAGCTTGGTGGCATAGAAGCGTCCGGCCTGTATGGCACAGGCGATGTGTGCGATATGTTGACGACAGTCTTTTGTTTTGGCACGCTGCAGCGCCGATATTGCTTCCTTGGCATTAATATCACATTCGGGCTCAAAGCCCAACTCCAGCTGCTTGATAGAGAGTTTTGGTTGACTTTTAACAGGCACTGGTGGCTTCTGTTGTTGTTGTTCTTGGTCCTCCTTTACAGAGGCCGCCTGCTCTACAGACGCTTCTGTGGCTGAATGGGTTGGTGCTGAGGCAGATTTAGAGACGGCAGCAACATCTCGTTTACGCAAAGGATTGACGAAATCAACGTTAGCTATGTCCAGAGATTTGTAGGCGAGAAACACCTGAATGGCAATGATCATCAGTATGACTATAAAGAAAGAGCGATAACGGCGCAACCAGCGCACGGACAGATGCTCCATCGAAACAAGTTCCCTCTTCCACGACAGATTCGGTTTATTTACTTCAGTGGCTGTTTCACGTGTTTGTTGTGAGTTCGTTTTGACTGTGGCGTTGGCATGGCTTGGTGTGTGGACGTTTATTGTGTGGCGCCACTGATATGTGCGTGTGTGTGGGGGCAATTAACTACATTTCACTTATTCAAAAAATGACATTTTAATGATTTTCATTGAAAATGCGAACCGAGTATATTTTTATGCTACTGCTGCTTCTTGCCTGCAGTCTGAAAAATGACACTCACAATGCAACGCATCCATTTCGCATTAGATATGACAGGCGGCTTCAAAATGGTCGTGAGTAATGGTAACGTCGATGTGCGCATATCTCACATCATTATTCGTGCTGTGTACTGTGACTGTTAATCGTAAATAGTAAAGGTTTTCTACTTTTTTATACTACCTACACAAAATGGTTGATCCGAACCGCAAAATAAACCGTGTCACAGAAACGGACATAGATTTTTTAGAAGCATGCGAGGAAGAGTTTGCGCTACGCTACACGGATGATGATCCAGAATTCATGGCACATTGCAGCAAACCGTTGCCTGATCCGCCGCTGGTCGAGAATTGGCAAAATGGAAATGGTTCTGGTGGGGGTGGTGGTGGTGGCGGCGGCGGTAGTGGTCACTACAATAATCGTTATAACGGACATCGCAGAGGCGGCGATCGCGGCTGGCAAAGAAGAAGTGGTGGCGGTGGCTACCACAATAACGACAGAGATCGTGGATACAGAGGTGAGAGCCACTGGTTGGTTGGCAAACAGAAAATTCATATATTGTTGCAGATAATCGAAATCGCCCCAACCATCGATATGAGCCGTCTGCACGCAGAGATAGATATCGGGAACAAGATCGAAATGGCGCCGTCTATAACGAACGGAATAACGAACAAAGTGGCAGTAGCCGCGGCGGTGGTGCTGGCTCCGGCTCCGGCTCACCCTTGAAAGTGAGACGTGACTATGGGAAGTTTGTGCCCGCCTCTAAAGATTAGCAACGCATTCTTGTTCATATATGTAGTATGTTTCTTCAAATACACGTGCATCATTTTTATTCAACGCTACAGAAACAAATTCAGTGTCTGGGACTTAGGGCTAATGATGTCAATTTAGACCGCTGATTCGGAGAGATCTTTGGGCTTGTCGCTTTCAGCAGCTGCTGCAACAGACATGCCCGCACCCATGGCATTTAAGAGATTTGAGACGGGTCCAGCACCGCCGACCTGTGACTTGTAGCTGTCCATCATATTCTTTAGAGTATTCACATTTATATTGATGGGCTCGAAATCCTCAATGTCGTCGAAATCATCGTCATCATCATTGCCCGTGCGATTTGAAGTGCGTGAATTGCTCTTCCCATGAAAGGACTTGCCTACAGTGGTCTGTGCCAACTCGCGGTCCATTTGCTCCATATAGGCTTTTATGTTGTGGTCCAAGCCGAAGGCGCTGCTGCTGCCCGCCAATGCAGCATCAAAGTTTCGCTCCAGATCTTCCTCATCTGCATAGTCGCTCATCTCGGATGTGGAGTCCCAATTGTCCTCGGGTATGACAAAGTCCAGGAAGTTGCGCACATGCGTGCTATCCTGCTCATCATCCTCCTTCAGCAGTGAGTTGCGTTGACATGCCTTACGCATCGAGTTATTCTTTTTCACCTTCGCCCCAAACTCACGTTTGCGCTCAGCTGGACTCTTGTGACTGCTCGCGCCAGTCGCCGGCGTAGGCTCATCATCGTCAGAGTCGAGCATGTCGGCTCCATCAGTTGGCGGTTCAATGCCTTCGAAGTTGGACTGTTGTTCTAAAAATTCGCTCAGCTGTTTTGTAAACTCGGCCGCATTCATATCGCCATTGGGCTTGTAGAGTTTTTTTGGACCATAACGCTCTTGAAGCATAGCATCCAAATCCTCAGCGCTTATGCTCAGCCAATCGTCTTTATCGCTGGGCTGTAGATTGTTCTCCTCGTCGCGCAATTGCTCGACCTTTTCACTGTCACTTGTACGTAAGAGCTCAAGAATTTCAGCGCCGACCCGCGGCGCAGTGCGAAAACGTGCCTGATTGCTTTTAAAATACTCGAGCGCCGTCGCCAAAAGACTCCCATACTCTGCACTTCCCTCAATGTTGTCCCGGAAGTAGCCCTTAGATTGCAGGCTACGCAAATATGCCCGCCACGCTGGCGTTTCCTCTACCTTTTCGCCTTCACGCTTCGCTTGACTAGCCAGAATCTCCAGACCGCTGGCAATCTTCACGCCCAACAGCTGTTCCTTGTAACGCTCTGCATTGCCAGCATTTGTCAGCTGCCAACCCACTTTGCGCTCTGGCGTGTATTGGCTGTGCATCAGCATGGCATAGAGGCAGCGTGTGAATGTTACATTTGTGCGCACGCGCGTCGACTCCGGCGGAAAGTAGCGCATGACGCGCAGTGCCTTTGCATCCATTGTGTCACGCTCGCAAAAGGCACGCACTGCGGATGCAATGAGGGCTGGGCGTTGCTTCAGCAGTACAGCGGCATTCTGTGGCAGCTCCACAATCTGACGATGTGTGGCTAAATGAGGCTGTGCCGGCACGAACTCTCGAATTCGAGCCTCGATGCAGCCCTGCATGGCCTTCGAACAGCGATAGAGTGTGGGATTGAGACAAATACGTTGCACCGCAGTGGCCATAGGCATGCGTTTACCCTTCGTTGTGGATGGAGAATTCTGGACGAGCTGAAGCTCACCGTTGACCAAATAGACGCGTTGTTCGCAGGTCTCCGGCGAGGCCCAATCGGGCAGCACATCTGCGGCCTCGATGAGCAGAAATTCGCCATCGGCATCGCAGATACGGGCTATAAAGTCGGACCGCAGGCGTGTCAACTCACACAATAAATAGACAATGAACCATTCATCGCCAATGTTGTCGCCATAATGTGTGATGCCGTGAAGATGAGGCGGCAGGGCTGCTGTAGGGCCGGAAGATACAAAGATACACACATATAGTATGATGAGCTATTTTTAGATTCTGGGGAAAACCAAACATTCACACTTACCTTCACCATCATCATCATCGTTGGTCTCATCATTAAGAATGCGTTCCTTGGCGCTCCCTGTTCGCGCCTGCAACTGAAATTCGTCCTTGTGCCAAATATAGCTACGTTCTGTGACTTTCTGTTGCACAATGGCCATACATTCTGCCTGCACCTCCGACAATTGCTGACACACCTGCTCTTCTAACACATCTTCAGCTGCACCATCGACAGCGGACAATTGTGGAAATATGTAATATTCCACAAAGTCGTCTTCGCGCACAAATTCCAAATTAACGCCCGGAACTTTATTCATTGTTCTTCCTTCAAGAAGCACTTAACTCCTTTGTTTGCTTTTGCCGTTGTGACTCAGTCACAGAATTCGTTTAGATGTGTGTGTGTATCCTTTGGCTTGGCGTTGTCGGGGTGTCTCTTTGTTGTTACCTTTGTGAGTCTGTGACCTTAGCAACTGTTGAATGAAACAGTGCAAACAGCCTTTCGAAGCATTCGGTGCGACCTTTTCCCACTCTGTTTCTTTTATAATAACAACCAACCTTTTTTTTCTTTCTCTGTGTTTGCTTTAATCGCTGCGATAGCGATGTGTTTGGGCGACAATTTTACTGTCGTAAGGCAGCCAAAACAGTGTTGACAAACGCACGAAAGCTAAACACATGTGCGTGATGTCCACGCGCGCTTGTTAGATAAATTTTAAATGTTTTATAAAGCTTATTATTCTGTTCAAAAATATCAATATATGTAAAAAAACACAGATGAATTGATAACCTCCTCCTTTTTGAAGTGGGCTAATAATTAGAGTATGATTCAATTTTAAACAAAAGAAAAAAATTATATTTAATAATCTCTCAGAAACAGACACTACACAAGTAATTCAATCAGTTATAAAGAGTTAATAGTGGTGATAATGGTGGAAATGTAAAATTCGATTAAACGGCTAACGGAGTCTGAACTTCAACAAAAACAAAAATAATTCTCATTCACTACAAATGTTCAATAGTTAAAAAGCTGTTAAGAACCATTCTTAAATTCAAATATTCAATCCTATCGCTAGAGGTGAGAGTACGATATAAGTAAACATCGCCTAACCGTGCCTGAGATGCATCGTGAGCATTGTTTAGCCATAGTGGCAACACTTGCAAAACAGCTGCCGGTTTATTATTCAACCAATCCGAGGATAACAAAAATAATAATAATGGGGTTTCTAACAAAAGTGGCAGCCAAGGCAGCGCCCACAACAGAAACAACACAATCCCCGCCTGCTATTTCTGTAAACGAAAAGAAAGAGGCTCAGACCAATGCCAAGGAAGAGGAACTTAATGGTAATGGACCCAAGAAAGAGCCAAAAGAGTGGGGTTATGACTTATATCCAGAGCGCCGTGGAGAAGCGTTTAAGCCCAAATGGTCCCGTATACTACTTGGCCTAGAAGGACGCGAGAGCATTGATCGTTATAAATGTGAGGAAAACGTATATTGGTGCGTAAAGAATGGGCCACTGGTTAAGCTAATGATGGGCGCATTGCGAAGCTCTGGCTGTCCTATTGATCTACGCCGACACATCTCCTGTGAGGTGTGCGATCCTACAGTGACGGGCGGATACGATCCTGTGCTCAATCAGATTGTGGTCTGCCAGAATATGGCCCGGAATAGGAGCATGGTGCATGGTGTGCTAACGCATGAGATGATACATATGTTCGATTACTGCAACAATGACTTGGACTTTAAGAATGTGGACCACTTGGCCTGCACTGAGATTCGTGCCGCCAACTTGGCGCATTGCTCCTTCTTGAGCGCCATGTTCCAGGGCGATGCCTCCCCGTTTAATATCAAGGAGGCTCATCAGGTTGGTGGCTTAAATATGACTATCAAAGAAATTGCTAATTCCAAACTTACTTATGGTAGAATTGCGTGAAGAGCAAAGCCTTGGCCTCTGTTTTGGCTGTGCGAAATGTGAGTCGTCAAGACGCAATTGATGCGGTTGAACGTGTCTTTCCCAAGTGCTATAACGACCTGGAGCCCATTGGCCGAAGGATACGTCGCAATTCCACAGACCAACAAAAAGCGTACATGGAAGGGCCCATGTATGGTTATGATGTCTATTAATAATTGGAATTTGTAATTGAATCCAAAATGGTGGCAATTATGTACAAAAAAATTAATAAATATAAGTTTAAAGCGAGAAGAAAACATTTTTCTTATCAAGCCCATCAACTAATGAGAAGTCACAAAATTAAGCATTAATTTAATTTATGACTATCAAACAAATTACACAACAATTTTTAATTATTAATGAAAAACGCCGGAAGCATACTGTATATAAAACCTTTGCTCTTCAGTTTTAGTTTTAGTAAACAGTTTTAAACTATGGAGGATTGTGAAATAATTGGCTTGATGTGGGAATTTATCGCAGAAATGTTATTTGGCTGTGCGTATAGAACTAATATTATACAAATAATATTCTACATATTCAAGCGTTTCAGCTGGGGACGTCGAGTACGTTAGCGACGATGAATAAATCAGCATTGATGATACTAAGCCATTTAATAAATTTGTGCAACAAAGTACAATTATTAATCGCACTAATTTGCAAAAATACTTATAAATCTGACTATAAAATACCCCTGGAACCCAGTGAACAGTACATAAAGGCTAAATATGGACTGCTGGCAGCTTGTTGAAATATTTTTTGAGTTTCTAAATGATTTGTTTTTTTCCGACATGAGTAAGTAATAAGTTGATTTGTATTTTATTTAGTTATTTATATTTCCTTTACCATCCCGAAGCTGATGCAGATTATTTTGGCGAATACTATTACGATTATTAGTAAAATTTTTCAATGTTTCAAGTCATGGCCTAATAAATAAATCAAATTTGATGTTTTTATAATTTCATTAAAAGTTCATTCAAATTGCACTTGAGTTTTCGTTACGCCTCATTAATGGACATGGTTGAGTTGTGTGCCTCAACATTTTGGGCTCGACTGACTCCACAGATTTAGTTACAAATCGCTAAGCAGGAACCATCGGTGGAATTTCGAAGAATAACACAATTAATACAAATATTATAATTTGTGTTATTAAGATAACATTTCACTCTATAGAAAAATAAACAACTATTTGAGCAACTTGTTTTTTTTTTCGAACATCTTAAGTTGCGTACAAACTCTTTATCTTTTAAAAGATCCAAGAGGGAAATAAATTTAGATAAAATTGGTTGTCATTGAAAACTTTTCTTTAACGGTTTGAAGTAACATTTACTTCGCGAATATGTGTGAAATTTATTTGCCTGTCTGACTACAACTTTATTCTTTCATTAGGTCAGAATGGTTTGGAAGGTCACAAAAGTCGTTAGGGACTATTTCTAACCATTAATTTATGAAAATTTAAACAGTACATTAGCAAAAAAAATATATATAACCAAAAAATTGCAATATAAAATAATAAAACATGGCAGTATAATTTTTGAATTTTGAATAAATCAACACTAATGATTCAGTTATTAAATAAATTAGTGCAACAAAATGCTTTAATTAAATTGCACCATTTATCAAAAATAATTCCAAAACTGACTATAAGTATACTTGAAACCCATGGAAAAGTACATAAAACCACAATATGGACTGCTGGGAAGTTGCGGCGATGTTTATTACATTTATAAAAGATTGCTTCTATCCAGACATGTGTAAGTAATTGTTAATATATTTGAATCAAATTTTTTAATGACAAAATCTTTGTCCTCCCAAAGCTGATGAAGACTTTCTTAATGAATTCTTTTACATATATGATTATTAATATTTCGGATCATGATACTACGAATAAAGCGTCATTAATGTTTCTATAATTCCATTCGAAATTTTAAAAGTTGTGTTTGAGTTTTGTGTTATGTCCTATAAATGGACGTTTCTGAGTTGCGTCTTACTTAGTTACAAAATGTTAAACATATCGAGTAGGCTCTATCGGAGGAATTTTTACTTTTAAAAACAACTTAAGTTGTGCTTTTGAATAATAACACCAATTTGAAATATCATTAGGTGTGAGCTCTACCTACAATGAATCGCTTAAAAATAAACTGAGTTTATAGACTGGTGATAGAAACAACCACGGGGCTCTTGAGGGTTTGCTAGAAGAAGCTGTGGCAGACCCCATGTCTGCACTTCTACCAGTATCTAGTTTTTTCCCTGTTAAGCATCCTTTAAAATTAAGGACAACCAAATATTGTTGTTTAAAAATACATCAATTTTATTTAAGTAATATTTTCAACTATTACATATGTACTGGAATGAAATACTTGTTGTCCAAAATACATAGACAGCTTTATTTTGCATTGAACGTTATTGCACTTACATGAGACAGAGTAGCTTTAAACTTATCTTAATATTGTTTGTTTGGGGGAGGGGACGCAGCTCTCTGGCTACATTTTAAATGCATTTTGAGCTTCTAAATGTTTAAATACGACACAACCGCCACAAGTGCCTCAACCCAGGAGGCATCAGTAGAAATATTCATATTTCTGTGCATGGTGCAGCATAACCTCCATGGACTTTTTGCCTTGCAAGACACCATTACGCTCCATATAGTTCCAAATGGAAGCCATGAATATGCAGAATAAAATAACACCGAAGACGATAAATTTGAGCAGAAGATAAATGGTGCGGAATCCCACCGGGGCGCTGAACTCGATAAGAAGGACGAGCAACACGAATAAAAATGTTGCAGCGCTATAATACAGGATGCGATCGGTGTTCAGTTGTAGAAGCGAGGCATCGCACAGAGTCAACGCCTCATGGAGTGCTGCAGTGCGTTGAGCGGGTAGGCATAATGATGGCGGCTGGCAGGTCGTCTTATGTGACGGTTCGCCGCAATTAGTGGCAGATATGTTGGCACCCGGATCGCCGCCACCCTCCTCCTTAGTAGCACAGGTTTCCTCACCATCGATATGTCCATTGGCATGCGACACGCATTGCGTCGGTGCTATATGCTTGCCTGCTACACTATCGGCTGTTATGTGCGTTAATCGTAATTTTGCCAAGACAGCCTCGTGATCAGAGTAACTAAATTTTTCGCCGGGAACACGTTCCGGGAACGGCAACGTATAGTCGACTATGTGAGCTTTTATGTGATCTGCGCCACGGACAAATATGTGATCGATCCGTATGCCAAGCGGATTCTTAGCCAGCGAACGTTTCGACGTATACGAATTACGACCACACTCATTGGTCCGAAAAGCGTCGGAGGCACAGCTGTCCTGCATCTTGGATGTGTACAACAGAACCTTATAAGAGATATCCTGCGGCTGCGTATTCAAATCTCCTGCCAGTATCTGAAGCACCGCATTGCCACGCGTCGCCTCAATGAACTGAGCAGTGTCGAAGGCCTGAATCACGCGATGCGTCTTGTACTCATCATTGTCGTTGTCATACTCGGCGTGAAGGTGTGCATTATACAAATGTACGATCTGGTCACCAACGAGAATCCGACAAAGGCCAACACCCTTACCGCCAAACCAGTCAGCGTGCTGTACGCGATGAAAATAACCATTCACGGACCAGGCATGAAATAAAGTGCCCAGAATTGGATATTTAGACAGCACTAGTAGACCGGCCCCCATCACCCCACTGTGGAAGTAATGTGAATAGGGTAGAGCACTGGCTGTCTTCTCCTGCAGTGCCTCGCTGTCCTTTTGCGACCAAACCTCCTGGAGCGAGACGATGTCGTACTTCCCACTGCTCAGCTCCTTGCATATCGCCTCAATGCGCAGCGCACGGTCACTGGACACATATGGAATGCCCCTGTAATTCAATTAGGAGAACATAGAATAAAATTGGAGCGTTGGCCTTTTGTAGTCACACAGGGACACAAATAATTAACACTTTTGCATTTATGTACATTTACACATACCATACGTTCAGCGTTAGAATATTTAGCTCGAGCAGCAACATTTTTTTTTATAGCAATTTTCGGCTAATAACAATGCGCTGCCACCTTTGCTATGAGACACAATCACAATCGCATGGAAGGTCCGTGTAAAGCATGCAGGCTGATAAGATTATTTGTTTTCTAAACAAGAGAAAGCTTATATGTATGTATATGTATGAATGTATATACCATATGCGGAAGCCAAACAACAAAGCTAGTTGGAGCTGCCAACCGATGTTGTAGTTGATGTTGGTGTATCTGGCAACCATGTGTGAATCTTAATTTCACATGTACGGCAATGCCACCAAGAGTGCTGAGCAATCTAAAGTACATAGTGAAATATCGTTTTGCATTTTAGATCAAATGTACCGACGGTTAATTTTTGCTCAAAAATCTATACCAATGAGTGTTTTATTATATTTCTATGTAGAATTGCATATAATATATTTATTTATATAATGAAAATATTTGTATTATTTCATTATTAATGTAGTATATTTTAATTTAATTACACTTTGGCCAGTTTGATAATACCGCCCTGTTGCTTACTTAATAACAACAAATGATGTTTAAGTTTGAAGAACGAACTGTAACCTTATTGCTTAAATGAATCGATAATCCCGATACATCTTTACTATTCACATCTCCAATGTAGATCTCAATCTCATAAGCGCACGAAGTCCGTACTTCCCACGAAATATCAATCAAATATCCGAGTTTTTAGTTTAAATCTGCTTTTAGAAATGACTTCTAGTGATAGTGAGTGCGAGTTTACTTTCGGGGAAGGCATAGAGTATGCCTTGCAAGAAATTTCAATTGACTCCCAAGATCGTCAAATTTTCACAAGAGACGCGCAGACTATTCAGAATGCGTTTATCCAAGCCATATCGCGCTACGATCCCACATTCAAGAATGCCTTCAGAGGATTAAGCTTGGGTGGTAGTTTTTTGGACGATATTCGTATTGAACTACCGGATGAATTCGACATGCATGTTAAGATTGTATTGCCTTTCGAGGTAGAGCCAATCAGAGTGTCCAATTACCCAGGATATGTGTTTTTGCGAGTGGGCAATCGCTATGCTAGACACCATTGTATCCAAACGTATGGCGCCGATGGAAAATTTATTAATCGCGAACTGATTCAAACGTGGTTTCGCACCAATATCAGCGCTGTGATGAACGAACTTCAAAACATTCGTTGTGGAAATAGGTCGTATAGTTTGAAATACACAGCCCACGGCTATGGAGTGGCACATACTTTAGTGGCTACGGAGCGTCGTCGACGTCATCGGAAAATATATTTTGATTTTGTTCCCGTCTTCGAGTTCGAGGCATGCGAATGGCCCCGACATTTTTCCAGGGTACCTAATGCAGGTCGTACCTGGCTTGCTGTGCCTCGCAAATATATGGGGAAAAATGTAAATGATTCCCGGTCATTTATGGTGTGTGCTCCCCACTGGGAGCGTCTTGTATTGCATAAAAAGCAAAATTTAAAGGACTCACTACGACTGATGAAGGCCTTTCGAAATGCGAACGATATGCCCCATCTGGTCAGTTATATGATAAAAACATTGTACCTTAATGCTGTGGAAGAAAGGAAAACCAATTGGAACCAGGCACCTGGACGTATACTCATTCGTGTAATTATGAAAATAAAGCTCATTTTTAATCATTTCTCTGTAATTGAAATGATTTTTTCTTGCAGTTAATGGTGGAGTTACTTATGGATCTATTAGATGGATTTCAAGAATTTTACTTAGCTCCAGATCACAACAACTTTTCCAACATTAGCCGCGAGGAGATCCAAGAATATAAACGCATTGTTGGACGAACTCTGAAGAAACTTATAAGTCGTCGTAATGCCGATTACCTTACCTGGGACGATTTGTCCAACTTCTTTGGTGTAGAGTGTTGAGTTCAATTGAAATTAGTTAGGAAGTACAATAAATCTGGTACAATTTTTTTTGTCGATAATATTACATTTCAATTGCCAGTAGAGGCTCCTTAAAGATTCTTTATTATAATAACACTTGCATAGTTTATATTAATATTTTTTATTGGTTTTATTTCGCGTGTTAAAAGTATTTTGGTTAGAATTTTAACAAATTTTCGTTGCTTGGGTTAGAGGGCCAAAGAGACAATTTAAAGTTTGACGCACATACGTATGTACTTTATACTCGCGCTTCCCTTCTCAAATATGGCAGATATCATTAAATACATTATATAATGCCGCACATTTTGGCAAATTTCTTCGTTCCGTACTCTCACTCTCTTTCTTCGCTATGATTAAAACATACAAACTAGCAAGCAGCTTGCAGCAGGTACGTTGAGGCCTTGTTAATAACCATTTAAGACTAAGACCTATGTATTAGACAGATATACATACATATATATTTGTAGTATGTACTATTTATTACACAGACAAATGTCGGCTTGTGCAATGCATGTTGTCGCCTCTGCTATATCCTTCGGCGTGTTTCAGTAGCGTTGGCTTTCCCGATCCGAATACTTGCCGCTCAGCTTGCTTACCGAATAGCGATCCGAATAGGCATCATATTTGTCCGCCTTGTAATTAATCTCCTGTGGCGTATAGCCTATATTCTTCTGCCAATGGCGCGTCCAATAGAGGTCCTCGTTTCGCACCTGCGACGGCGTCTTTGCGTCGCGACAAACATATACACAATACACCATGCAGCCGATTAGCGTGAGGAACCCAAAGATGAGAAAAATTATGCCCAAGATCCTGGTCACCGATCGGAAGGCGATTAATTGAAATTTAAGAATTTAAGAAAGAGATATCGACTTACCACACATAGAGCGGCTCATAGAATTGCACCACAACAACAAACCCCAAGGTGACCAATATTAGGCCCAAATTGAGTAACAGCATTAGACAGCAGACGCCCTTGACATTCGGACAGAAAGGGTTCGGCGCAGACATGGTCTCGATCTTCGCGCCACGTTTTGTGGTCGAACGTGCGCTGCGCCCTGTCTTCGCCGTGCTGGCCACTGAGTAGACACTTCTTGGTGCTCCTCGGGACATGGGGCGCTGGCTGTACCGACTAGGAAAAGAGAATATGTATGATAATCTGATGGGTTTCTGATCATGTAGATATATAAGATAGATCCATATCTATTAGGAGTCATATGTTCATGTCAACCTCACGAAATAACTTTATTAATCCATCGACTTCTGTTGAACTATAACAGTCAGGGATATCTAACTTGTAGACTTGCTTTATATTCCATATGTACACTAAAAACCATATGATGAAGCCTGATTCAGGTATATAAACCTGGCTTAGAAACGACCGGTACAAAAGTCCATCTCAGTTAATTAAAAAACCTTTTATTGCGATAAACGATAGGCAATTTTCCTGTATAACTTTAAAGCTTCATGCCTCACTATATCATATAGTAGGTGACATTAGAACGAGCTGTTCAAAAATCACTTTTGGTAAGAACATTTATTTGTATTACGATATTGTAACGAGAAATAGAGTATTTGGTTTTAATAGTTTCTTACTATTTTTCAAATTGTATTAAAAATCGGTTCACTTAATAGTATATAGGTGAAATAGAAAGGATCCGTTTAACATTCTTATTTGGTATGAATTTATTACACCCTGTAGCCGTAGGGTAAAAAGGGTATATTAGGTTTGTGCAAAGTATGTAACATGCAGAAGGAAGCATCTCCGACCCCATAAAGTATATATATTCTGAATCAGCATGACGAGAGAAATCGATCTAGACATGTCCGTCCGTCCGTCCGTCCGTCCGTCTGTCTGTCCGTCCGTCTGTCTGTCCGTCTGGATGAACGCAAGGTTCTCAGAAACTATAAAAGCTAGAATAACCAAAGTTGGTATCCAGATTCTCCTAGGTCCGAGAAAGGACGAGTTTATTTTAGCGTTCTCTCTTGTCTTTTTACTTCGATAATGTAACCTAAATCATTTATCATTTATATTTTTTTTAAAACGTCTCACTATTTTATCGTTTAGCCGATCTTCAATAAAAAAACGATCTATTTTTTACAATTCCTTAATAATTGATATCCATAATATCTTTCATATTGAGGCAGAAAATCAAGAGAGCTTATCTGTCATTATAAGGGACCCAAGGTTTCTTCTCACCTGATTTCAGAGGGCGCCTTATAGGCGGCACTTGTTACATAAATGTCACTGCCCGCATCTCCTCCATGATCGTAGCTTAGGGCCGACGGAGCGCGCGGTGGCTGTCGTGTCGGTGGCGGCCCCAACGAACGTGGTCCGCCATTGTCCGCATGCGGCGATAAGCCAACCGGTGCCGGCGAACTGGACAGACCCATCTGGCTGTGGCTATAGCTATGCTGCAGGTTCTGATGCTGTTGACCATTGGGCGTGGCGCGTTTCTTGCGCGATGAATTGTATTGGCCCTGAGCCGATGGCGAGACGCGTTCGTGTGCCAGCGTATATTCGGAGTAGGTGCGTTCGGAGGGGGCCCGATGCGATTCTTCGCCGTCGGTGGAGTAGCCGCGATTCGAGTGCACGTAGGGCGGATCTGGCGTAAGTCGTCCGTGAGTGGCCACGTAATGGCCACCCTTTAATCTATCAGAAAAGCGATAAATAATGACAGAAGTTGACTTTGGCTGCTACGGAGAGTTCTTACTTTTTTACGCGTCTTTCGTGCATTTCACTGTGATTCTATGTGGGCTTGGATAGGGAGTGATGGTGGGCGTGTACTTGGCCTGTCTTTGTCCTTATATTTTTGGCTACCTTATTGTCGTTATTAATATGTGTCGTTGTCGTCAAGAAATCGCTTAGCGCCGGAACTTGTATTCTGTAAGCAGACAAAAACAGAACTTGTGGTTAATTAATAGTACCCCCAAAAACACCCAGAGCCAGGGTGACCTTTCAGCAATATGGTTGGTTGGCGTCAACTAAAAAGCTGCCACAAATTAGGCGCCACCCAACTTTTAATTAGCTCGATAAAGTTGTGACTGCATTTCACATACAAACACACAAATGCATGGCATTTCAAACCATGGTGACGGGTTAGTTGGATTAGTACAGTGAGGAGTAGCTATAATGAAATAGTTGGCCCGAAAAAACAGGGAAATATACTTGTATGTATATATGTACATATATAAATCTGAAAGGGTGTGGATGAAGGACTGAAGGACTGATTAATTGTGGAACTGCTTGATAATTTGAAAGCAAAATGTATACATCTTTTCTAGCCCAAATTTTTCCACATAATTACTCATATTTTTTACCTCTATTTTGTTTGGTTTTTTTTATAGTTATATATATATATATACATATATATATATATTTTTATCGTAATCACCTCAACCTATTAATTCGTTGTACCAGTAACCATTTTATAGTTTTTAACATAATTCGTCCACAAAGAAATTTTAAAAATTAACGGAGTTAATATATGTAGATATTACAATAAATATCTTTAAAAAAAAAATAGGTTTAAGCAAGTTCCACTGTTTCTTAATTCATGGAAGTAGTTGAAATATTTTGGTGTCCATATGAGCTTTTAATTGGACATTTTCTCTCAAATCTTAATTGGCAAGCAGTTAGAAAAACTAACTTTGCCGAAAAGTTCTATTCGGTTTGTTAAGCAATTTTAAATGGAATTGGGTATTTGTATTCCCAAAAAATAGGTGTTCCCCATATAAATTTATGAATAAAATAGCAGTGTTTTAGAATATACGTTAATTAATTGCGAGAAGAATAATAACTATCTATTGGCAAGCACTTACTGATTTAATAATTCGTCATCGCAGAGCCCAATTTCCTGCAACTACAGATCTGAAATTAAAAAAAAGTTGTATTTAATATTGAAGGCTCTTAAGCATTATTCAAATTTTCTATAGCTTATAATTAGAAGAAAAATATATAATATTTTCCATTCATTTTTTAGAAGTATTAAGTCAAAAAGTTGTGTAAACAGAACAAGTTAGAGAAAAAAATCATTCACACACCACCCATTCATCAATCTTAAGAATGCTTCAAAATATCGGTTCTCAGAACTACAACACATAAAAGAGCTCCAATAATAAATGTACTTCGTAATTTAAGAACTATTTTGTTTTGCAGATTGGTTGTAAACAATTTTTGCTTTGCTTCTTTTGAATGTTTGTAAACAATGGCTTCGATTGTTTTTTCAATTTGAAATTCTGAGCTGTTCTGACAACGTCAGCTTTTTTCTTGTCATTAAACTCACTATCACAGTCGTGGCATTATGTTCTCGGGCTGGTCCCATAAGACTTGCTTGTGCCATTAACCCCGCCCAGAATCAAGTTGCTTGCCTTGTCTCCTTCTTATTTATGTTTACTCATTTAAAGACCCTGATATACATACATACTTGTATACTTGTATGTAGTGCGGTTTCTTGCAATTTATTTTTATGTGTTCAATGATTTGGGGAGACTGGGCTCTTTGTATCGAGAACTGTCGGGCACACCCAAAAGCGCGCTTTCTCACTCTCTGCTCATTTGAGCCTACAAAGTCAGATATTGGAATTGAATCTCATGTCGAGAGAACTTTAGTTTACCTCCTGCCCCCATGGTCTGTTGTGGTTCCATCCCATCAACACCTTGAGTTCTGGGAACCTCTTCTCTGGCATCATAACTGGCGCCCACACGCAAATACTTACACATATCCACATACATATATAGTAAGGTATGTGTGTGTGTGTGTGTGTGTGGCATTGCAGTTCGTTGTGCCTTGGCGCCTTCGCGAATTCACAGCCACAAGATTTGTTGCCTGGATGTTAAAGCTAGAGATGTGCGTGTATTCGAAAATCCCGATCGTAAAAGGCAATTCAGTTCCGTGAATATTGTGTGCTAACAAATTAATTAAATAACTATCGTGAAAATGATGAATAAGTTATATTGAAAGCGTACAATATCCACGATAACCCATAAGATGTGCAGAAGAATGGGAGAAATCTTTCAAAATATACAATTAGAGCTAAGGATGCTTATGTAAGGAGTATCTAAGTAATTTAATCGAATCTAATAGAGAAATTTAATGTGTTCTTCAGTTTTAGGCTTTATGTTGAAGTCTTTTAAAGTAAAATACGGAACATATATTCTGTTATAAATAATATATTTTAAGGATTTCTAAATCTACGAATATAGCCAATTAAATTAGCTTACGGAATTTTCTTTGGAATAGGTAAGCTCAGTAGTGTAACTGCAGCTACTAATTGCTGATAGTTTTTTGTATTAACTCTGAGAATATTATACCGCCAAGTACATTTTTTTTTTTGTAAATATCTTTATTTAAGATCTGTCCTAGGTTGGACAATTATTAAATTTTATAATAACTTTGACAATTTTGTAATAAGCGTGATTCGTTGAGCTATGCCAAGCCCCAATCGAATTGCGAGGAATATAAATTTGTATACGCTCTTGCTTCTGAAAAACTTGGCAATTTTTTCCACTTACTATTTTTTAAAATTTGTTTACCATTTTCGTTTCCGTACTACAATCAAGGGAACTAGCTTGATAAATATAAATATAACAATTCGTGCGCGATTGTGAAGCGAGAAGTTCTAGTGGAATAGAATGGTGAATTCCGCAAACAATATGTGGCGGAAGGCCTTTTGAATTATTATGATCGTGAAGTCAGATGTTTGTTGTCAGACGCACATCTCTGTTTATTTAAACTTCTGACGCTGCCTTGTCGGACAACAGCGATGACAAATTTCTTTTACCAGTTATCGGGGCTGTGGCAAGTTTCAAGTTCATGCCACAATTTTGCATAGAAATATTGAAGTTGCCGGCGCTGTGCAATTCATCACTTAGTCACGTACAATTGGGCGTGAATGGGCAGGCGTGCCACTTCAGGCAGCAAAAGGAATGTCGATGTCGATGGCGATGGTGATGGCGATGTTGGCTTGCGGCAAGGTGACAACAATGCACTTGACATGGCTTCCATTGCCAGCAACAGGAACAAGACCTTCTTGCCACCTTTTGGCCAACTATCTGAGCAAGCCGGATGTGGCAGCAAGATAAGATAAGCGACCAACTGGTTGGTTGCCACAAACTTAATTACTAGTTTCTTTAGACTGTGCGTTGATTTCATTTTCTACTCTTTTATTTTGCTTTTAGTTTAAATTAATATTATTATCGCCTGTGCTGTTGATAAAATTGAGTTATTGTTTCGATTAGGCCAATTAAAGGGTGTCCGCCCGGCTATCTGCCGCGTTCTTTCACTCCAGGCGGCTTCTTTGTCTGCCGGAACATCATACATACATACATACTATATATAGAAGTATATAGATACATATGTATGTGCAAATATGTACACGTGTAGGTAATACCCTTGGGAAGATCGGTGCTCTCTGTTTAGCAATGCAACTACTGACAGTCGATGCCGACGCCCTTATTACACATTTGACTGTTAAAGCCAATTGATCGTTCGCAGTCCGTTTGGCTGCCAGCCGCCGGTCAATCGCGAATCGCGATACAATTGTTAGTTGTGCAGGGCTCTATTCGAAAGCCTTTTGGCCGCAGTTACTGATTTAGGTTCGAGTTCGAGTTCAATGCAGTGATTTTCCTATGCACTAGGGACTGGTATCCTCCACACACACACACACACACACACACACACACATGGATATACAGACATTTATGGTGTGGGCGGCGCCATCATCAAATGAAAAATCGACCGGAGCTCGAATAAGCCAAGTGAGGAGTAATTCTGGTCAAGTCTGTTCAGTTTTGGGCGCCTTGGCGTTTTTGGCAGCGTGTGTGTGGTCGGTTGCTATTCAGTTCTGTCCATTTCTATCATTTGCTCGGACATCAAAGCCCTTTTCAACTCCCATGCGTCGTATTTTTACATGCCGGTCTGAATGCCTGTCAGTCGCTCTCTCTCTCTGGCCATTGGTGTGTTTGCACGACGCGGCTTTGCTTTTGAATACCCTCTACCCGAAGGGTAGTGGCGGGTTTTGGAATCGTTCAGTTCAATGAAACACTTAAGCTACAGTGCAGCCCCTCAATAGAGGACCGGATATTAAACTAAGTGCTTTGCCTTCATCAAAATGTTAGCTCAATCGTTATAAACAATTATATTTTATATTCAATTTGACATACTTGGGAGTAAAGTAGATAAAGCCCCTAAACGGGGTATGCAGATTCTGTAATGCTCGATGAATGTCAAGTTTAAGTTGTCAGGCTTATGTAGAATTAGAGGGTAGAGAGAGAGTATAAAACAGTCGAGTGCGCACGCAATTCTAACATCCGTCATTTTTTATACATGTCTATATACTTAGTTTGTATGTAGTATTATTTGGCTTTGCTTAGGTTTTTGTTTTGTTAGGCTGCAAACACTCGCATGTAAGTCCGTTTGTAGTCATCGCTTTGCCTTAAAGCCTGGTTATATCTTTGTGATTTTTTTTCTTTTTTTTTTGGTGTTGTGGTTGTTTGGCGCAAAAATGAAATGCCATTAAAAACTGTTTGCTTTCATATTTACCTTGGGCACAAAATGTGCTCAACGCATTCAAATCGAATGCCACAAAACATATACGATTATATAAATGTGTGTGTGTGTGCGTGTCTGTGTGGGTGTGTGTGTATCTCAGGGTGTGCGTGTTATAACATTTTACGCAACATAAACAACATTAATAAGCCGAAAGCAGGCAGGACGGGTCGTCTTCTCATGCATTTGCTTTAAAAATTACTTCGTTCATTGTATGTACTTATTTCGCACATTTCTACATACATATGTACACACTCGTATCTACATAAATACATATATACATACATACATATATACATACATATGTAGAAGCACATTCGTGCGTACACAGCCGACAAAAAAGATTACTACAAATTGGCGGTTTGTTAAAAAAGTAACATTAACAAAACTCTAATGAAAACTTGTATGTACAAGATTAATTACACCTATTAAGGGTATAATTGTGTTTTTAATACCCTGTACCCGAGGGGTGAAAGCCAAATGTATATTGTATGTATGTAATAGCTACTAAATACATATGTACATATTTGACCAGCATGTCAAGACGTCTTCTATCCGTCGTTAGCACTTCTAGACCTGTTTAGCCATAGCTAGGGACACCACACTTGGTATGAAGACTTTTTCATACACAGCACAAGTGTAAAAACCATATAAGTTGGCTCAATATTTTATGTAGCTGCCTTAGGACCGATCAGTCCAAAAATCATTCATTTCACATTAAGACATCTTTGGAAACATTTTGCATTTCTATATTGTGTATACTTCCTCTTGATACTCGGCTGCTATTGTAAAAAATAGCTGCCACTGAAAAGATCGGTTCAAAAATCACTTTAAGTATTAAGCACATTTCTGTTTATTTTGACATTGTAACCAAATGTGTTGTTCATGAATCATATATAGTGCCTCATCGTAATTTCATGAGTTTTTATTTTAATGTAAATTACAATTTGTTAAATGAATTACACGGTATTATCTTTATTATTATGTCTAATTAATGCAACATTTGATTCAACTTATTCAGCTAATTTTGTATATTATGTTTTTTAACTTTGCGTTCGTAGAAAGAAACCATGGAATAAAAGTTCTTAAGTCCTTTTGCATAAACATAACCTTTTGTTGGGTGTACAGCTGCAAATCTCATTTTGCAGAACACGTTGGCATTTTTCTTTGTGTTCGTTCTCATCGAAAAAATTTCATAATAATATGAAAGGGATTTCCGTTTATGCGCCCAAATATTATTTTACCTGGCCGGCTCGTAAAATCATGCGTTTGCCAATTTGACGGCCTCAGTCGAATACGTGTTTGTTCTACAAAGCCAAAAT